ACACACCACTGAACTCCTGCATTAGACTGTGTACCACACACCACTGAACTCCTACATTAGACTGTGTACCACACACCACTGAACTCCTGCATTAGACTGACTGTGTACCACACAACACTGAAGTCCTACATTAGACTGTGTACCACACAACACTGAACTCCTACATTAGACTGTATACCACACAACACTGAACTCCTACATTAGACTGACTGTGTACCACACAACACTGAAGTCCTACATTAGACTGTGTACCACACAACACTGAACTCCTACATTAGACTGTGTACCACACAACACTGAAGTCCTACATTAGACTGACTGTGTACCACACACCACTGAACTCCTACATTAGACTGTGTACCACACAACACTGAACTCCTACATTAGACTGTGTACCACACAACACTGAAGTCCTACATTAGATTGACTGTGTACCACACACCACTGAAGTCCTACATTAGACTGTGTACCACACAACACTGAACTCCTACATTAGACTGACTGTGTACCACACAACACTGAAGTCCTACATTAGACTGACTGTGTACCACACACCACTGAAGTCCTACATTAGACTGTGTACCACACAACACTGAACTCCTACATTAGACTGTGTACCACACAACACTGAACTCCTGCATTAGACTGTGTACCACACACCACTGAAGTCCTACATTAGACTGTGTACCACACACCACTGAACTCCTGCATTAGACTGACTGTGTACCACACACCACTGAAGTCCTACATTAGACTGACTGTGTACCACACACCACTGAAGTCCTACATTAGACTGTGTACCACACAACACTGAACTCCTACATTAGACTGTGTACCACACAACACTGAAGTCCTACATTAGACTGTGTACCACACAACACTGAAGTCCTGCATTAGACTGACTGTGTACCACACACCACTGAAGTCCTACATTAGACTGTGTACAACACAACACTGAAGTCCTGCATTAGACTGTGTACCACACAACACTGAAGTCCTACATTAGACTGTGTACCACACACCCCTGAACTCCTACATTAGACTGACTGTGTACCACACACCACTGAACTCCTGCATTAGACTGACTGTGTACCACACACCACTGAAGTCCTACATTAGACTGTGTACCACACAACACTGAAGTCCTGTATTAGACTGTGTACCACACAACACTGAACTCCTACATTAGACTGTGTACCACACAACACTGAAGTCCTACATTAGACTGACTGTGTACCACACAACACTGAAGTCCTACATTAGACTGACTGTGTACCACACAACACTGAAGTCCTACATTAGACTGACTGTATACCACACAACACTGAAGTCCTACATTAGACTGACTGTATACCACACAACACTGAAGTCCTACATTAGACTGACTGTATACCACACAACACTGAAGTCCTACATTAGACTGACTGTATACCACACAACACTGAAGTCCTACATTAGACTGACTGTGTACCACACACCACTGAACTCCTGCATTAGACTGATTGTGTACCACACAACACTGAACTCCTACATTAGACTGACTGTGTACCACACACCACTGAACTCCTACATTAGACTGACTGTGTACCACACAACACTGAACTCCTACATTAGACTGATTGTATACCACACACCACTGAACTCCTACATTAGACTGACTGTGTACCACACAACACTGAACTCCTACATTAGACTGATTGTATACCACACACCACTGAACTCCTACATTAGACTGACTGTGTACCACACAACACTGAACTCCTACATTAGACTGACTGTGTACCACACACCACTGAACTCCTACATTAGACTGACTGTGTACCACACAACACTGAACTCCTACATTAGACTGATTGTATACCACACACCACTGAAGTCCTACATTAGACTGATTGTATACCACACACCACTGAAGTCCTACATTAGACTGACTGTGTACCACACACCACTGAACTCAAATACATCATCTCTCATGGCCCATGAACCTTAAATCAAAATAGATAGCCAACTGTTGTGGTTGCTTCTACCAAAGGGGTTTTTTAGGATGTAAGATTTTCAGTTACACCCAGAGAGAGCGGCCTTTGAGAGACAAGGTGACCTGTCACCCTCTCCCACTTCCTGCCCCTCCTCCTCCACTTCCCTTTCCCCACTCCTCTCTTCTCCTTCAGTTCTCCCTCTCCCCACCTTTCCTCCAGAAAGAGGACCAAAGACCTGGAGGAGATGAGGGAGATTGAACATACAGGAACACACATTTAACAGAGCATAGGACAGGAGTGTACTTGATGTGTTCAAGAATTCACGAGGTTGGGGCTGGAGAGATGGCTCAGCAGATAAGAGCACTGGCTGCTCTTCCAAAGGTCCTGAGTTCAAATCTCAGCACCCACATGGGATTGAAGATCTCTCTGGCATGCATGCAGACAGAACACTCATACCTAAAATAATACATAAGTAAATAAATTGTTTTTGAAAAAGAAAAAAATTCTTACCCCTCAACACTAGGAGACCAGTGTTGCTGGCAGAATCAGTAACCTGGAGATTAGATGGTAGGAAGTGAGGCCAGTGAGGTAACGTGCAGCAAAATTACATAGGGCTTTGCAGGGCTGTTGCAAGAGACAAATGATTTGAGTATGAGGCCTTCTATTTTCATAAAATCATTCCCATTATACATCATGTGGCTGCTGTGTGGAGAAGACACTGGAAGGTGGAGGCAAGGTAAAACCATACCAGTTAGGAAGCAATTGGCAGTAATTAAAGCAAGGCATGTTGCTGGCTTAGACTAGGGTGATGTCAGTGAATGTGACAGGTTTGCTAGATCAGAGGTGGCCAACTTAAAAAACAAAGCATTTGTTAATTTTTTTTTTGTGTGTGTATGTATGTATGTATGTATGTATGTATGTATATAAGTACACATGTTGTGTGTGTGCATGCTCCATGGCATAGGCAGGGAGGCCAGAGGACAATCGTGGGAATTGGGTCTATTGTTCTGCCATTTGGGTTCTGGGGATCCAATTCAAGTTGTCAGGCGTGGCAGCAGGCAACTTTACCTCCCCAGCGTCTCACCAGCCCCCGTCAGCCTTTTGACATTGTGATACGATGTTGTCCTTTACAGATGTGCTGGGCTGCATTCATCACTGTCCTGGGCCGTAGATTGGATATGCCTGTGCTAAATCATCTGTGGTTGGAAGGGGGAGAAAAAAGGCAGGGTTGATTTCAGGGGGTTTTGTCTGAGAAACTAGGTAAGTGGAGTTTACTAAGATGAGGAAGATTATGGAAAAAGCAGGTTTGGGGGAACTGGGTTAGGAATTCCCTTTGAATAAACTGAAGATAAATGCTCATCACACTTTCATTTGGGGAGATATGAGTGTGAAGTTTGAGGAGCGGTTAGAGGTGGAAATATCAATTTGGAAGATGTTTGTGTGTTTGTAGAGTCAAGCTGAAATCAAGAGTGTCTGAATGAAAAAGAAGGTGACCGAGACCAGAGTCCCTAGCCAAGCACTCAAAGAGCCCAGGTTTTTAATTACCATCTCTATTGTCTCTACTGCTAGTAGTACTTAACTCACTACAGACTGAGGCTGAAGCTGCCCGCAGAGGCTTTGGTGTGTTTGGGGAAACAAATACATGGCATATCTAGACATTTAAGTTACGATACAGAGTAGTGTATGAGTACACGGCAGGGCAGCTCTCAAGGACTACAACTCTATCTGTCCTACAGAGGAAAGGATTCCTTCACATAGAGATGACTGAGGAAGACCTGGGGAAAAACAGGGCTTGCCCTGGACCTTAGATAGGAGGCAGCGGCTGGGGAGGTGCAGCCACCTCCAGGTTCAAACGCCTGCCCGATTCTCTCAGAGATGCTGTGCTCACAGTTCTGCTCGGTATAGCAAATGAACCCTCGTAGTCAGCAGTGGGAAGGGCACGTAGGGCAGGGAAGGAGAGGTCCAGGGATGAGCGTCCATTTGTCTTTCTCTAGTGCCAATATGTGGGCAGCCCTTCCTCTGTTGCTAGTGAAGTTACTCATGCCTCGATGTCCAGAGCTTTTTATCAGGGTACAGTCATGTGAATGGGACTGATTGCCTGTGTGGGTCTGGCTCACTGCCCACTTCGCTGTTGACCTTGGCTTTCAGCCTCGAGAAAGCTAAGGCCCCTACTTTCATAAATCTTACTGTTATGGCCTCCGTGCAAACAGATAAGACATTACAAAATGTTCACTCCCAGAGCCAAGGACAAGCTTACTGCATAGTAAAGGGGTTGGTACATTGTGTTTGCAAATGCTGTGGTAACCACAATATGATTCTGTACTTGAGGATGTAAATTTTGGAACCAGAGGGCCAAGATGCATATTCCTGCCATAAATCTTGAATTGTGGAGTTTATGGCACTTATAGTGAATAATGTATCCCCAAAGCGAGGGTAATAACAACATCCACTTTCTAGGCTTATTGTAAAGAGTTACTATATAGCTTTTAGAACATATTCTGACACAGTAAATGCTGTAAAAGTCATGTGTTTCTTTATATATTTCTTACTCACACTATTGATTCAGTTTTGAGCCTTAGTATGTTAAAGATTAATATTTGACCCACATCTCCTAAGCCTCAGGACTTTTTTTTATTTCTGGACACCTAGGAATATATTTAGGGGACTATTAACATTCTCAAAAAGAAATGAAATATTTTCCTTTAAAATTATTTCTAAGCCGGGCGGTGGTGGCGCACGCCTTTAATCCCAGCACTCGGGAGGCAGAGCCAGGCGGATCTCTGTGAGTTCGAGGCCAGTCTGTGCTACCAAGTGAGTTCCAGGACAGGCGCAAAGCTACACAGAGAAACCCTGTCTCGAAAAACCAAAAAAAAAAAAAAAATTATTTCTAATGAAGGTAATAACTGTCCGATTCATTTACTTACTTGGAGATTAAATCTCTAGTTCCTGCAAAGTTTGTGGTTAGTAGGGAAAGCTTTTGGAGAACTGAGAAGTTAATTTTGGTTCTCTCTCTTTTGCATACAGGTCTGTGTATGACGATCAGCCAAACGCACACCAGAAGTTTATGGAGAAGCTGGAGGCTTGCATCCGCACCCATGACAAGGAAATTGAAAAGATGTGTAACTTTCATCACCAGGGCTTTGTGGATGCCATTACGGAGCTCCTTAAAGTGAGGGCTGATGCAGAAAAGCTGAAGGTGGGAAATACGTTCAGCGTCTCTTCGCCTTTCTTTATTAACTGACGGAATACTCTAATACATTGGCCAGTGAGTGCACTTTGGGGAGGAAAACAGCGTGTGTACTTGACAGCGTTCCCTGTGCTCCGCTAACACAGTTGTCAGCAGTAAGGAGAGCTGTGCTCTTGCTGATGTCTTTACACTCAGGAAGTGTACTACACCATACAAATAGGGAAAGGCCTGTTTACAGTTTGGGGATTTTTAAAAACGATGGTACAATGGTGTTAAAAAGCTGTCCTCCCTGGGTGGTGGTGGCGAATGTCTTTAATCCCATCACTCAGAGGCAGAGGCAGGTGGATCTCTGTGAGCTCAAGGCCAGCGTGGTCTACAGAGTAAGTTCCAGGACAGCCAGAGCTACACAGAGAAACCCTGTCTTGAAATACCAAAAAAAAAAAAAAAAAAAAGAAAAAAGAAAAAAAAAAAGCTATCCTCTAAAGTCATGAAAATTTAGTATAAATGATTTCATGCTGTTATTTAATTATATTGAAAATTTATTAAAGGAAGTTGCTCACATATTCTGCCATATTGGAGGCATTAGTTATTAAACTAGGCCTGGATTTGTTCAGTCAGAATATAAAACATTTAATTATAGGAATTGTCTTTTCATTTGAAGTGCTTCTCGGGCAGAACACAAAGATGATGATTAGAAACCGTCATATAAAGGATATTCAGATAACAAGAGACCAGACACACCATCAGTGAGGTCACTGAGCACGTCTCTTCTGCAGCTAATGAGATTTTTAATAAATAAGAATGTGCTTCCTCATATGATGACCTAATGAGTCACTTAATATGTGGGAAAATCGAGGCTGAGCTTTGGCTGCACCTGCAGCTTGAACATGTTGCTGTGGGTTGAGATTTCTGTGTTTGATGTTAATCAGCCTCCCAGGGTTTGCATTGAGAAAGTATGAATGTTTAATTACCGTAAAATGCAATCGCCATTTCCTACAGACAGTGAATGGCACATAGACCTCATTGAAGTTATCAAAAAGGGACCAGTGGTCAATTGGGTCAGTGATTTGAATTGTTTGACAGACTTAGAAAAGCAAGTAAAGTTCAAAAATCCTGAGTAAATTTGAGAAGTTTGCCACAGAATCTGTTAAAAAGAACTGTCATAACCAATTGAAGTTAACAAAAGTCCTTTTCAATCAAAAGTTCAAGTTCAAGCTGTAGAGTTAATTTGAATTTGCGTTTCTTTGTTCTGAGTTTCTCATGAAGCATGATCTGATTACAAGGGTGAGCAGTTACATCAGGGCAGCTTCATGCATGTTTGTCTAACTGAGGCGGAATTATTTTTAAGGTGCAAGTTACTGACACCAACCGAAGGTTTCAAGATGCTGGAAAAGAGGTAAGAAGAGGGTGGATGGCTAGAGGGATGGATGGGGAAGTGGGTGGGTGGATGGGTGGAGGGAGAGAGAGAACTCAGTATGCATGGATGCCATTGAACTTCAGACTGTCAACACTTTCATTTTCTAAGGTGGTAGTACAAACAGAAGATATTATTCGATGTAGAATTCAGCAGAGAAATATTACAACCGTAGTAGAGAAATTGCAGTTATGCCTCCCAGGTGAGTCAGACCTGTGTATCGTATGTTTATGTTTGGTGTGGTAAAATTACAGTTCGATACTACTGAATAGTCATCTTCCCTGTGGGAATTACAGGCTGTTGTGATCGCTCCCCAGCAACCTGTGGTTGCCTTTCACGGTTGCTCCTTCTCTGGCTTTCCATGAGTTTCAGAAAGTAAATGTTTCCATTTCACCTGTTTCCTAAACATCTTTGCATTTCCTCTCTGCCTAGCTGGCCATTTGGGTCACCTCCCCACCAACCCTGCCTCCATGCTTGTCTGTTTTCCCTCAGGGAGAGTGGCTTTTAGTTTTGTTTTTCTGGCCTCTATCTAATTTGCCTGATTTTTTTACCTCTAGTTCCCATTGTTTTCTGTTTGTACTTAGCACGTTCATTTTGCTTTGTTCACAATCTCATTTTGCCAATAAGGTGAGGAAACATTATAAACGCTAGGCCTCCCCCCCTTTTGCCTCCTGTAATGTTTTTTAGAAAGGCTTAGTTCCTGGTCTGGCTCAGATGTTACTGGGATGTCACATAAATTCTCAAGAACTAATGAGTATTTTCTTTCCCTGGACTTACTGTGTTTTAAGTTGAATGTATGTATCTCCTGTTCATATAACAAAGCAGGTGTATGCCGTTTCTGTTTCTTCACGTGGTCAGTGATGGCCATCTCAGGGTCTGATTTAGCTTACTTCCTTGTTAGGAAGAAGCCTAACCCTCCATAACTAGAGAAATAGAATACCATGTATACTATTTATGTGATAGAAATTTAGCTTGGAATATAAATGATATTGTCAGTAGTTTTTATTGGCTAAGATAAATACATTGTTTTCTCACTAATGAGAATAGCTTTTCTTAGAACTCCTACAAGTCCACTTAGTTGAGTACATAGTGGACCAGGGATATTTGCATGTTAACCTTGAGTAAATAAACTGCCAGTTTTCCAAAGGTTTCAGGGTGGGGTTTAATAGTGCCTCTGCTGTGCTAGATGCATTGGATTAGCTGTGAAGACAGCTTCTTCACTGAGGGCTTTGTCATTTGTTGCTTTAGACAGTAAGCCTAAAAGTGGGTACTGGCGGAGTGAATGGCAGAGAGCTGGATTCAGCACACACCATAGTAGGCTGTAAAACTGAGATGCTGGACAGCAGCTCTGAGTGTGTGTGAATACTTACTCTTCATTACCATACCCAGAACCTCCCCCTCCCCCAAACTGCCCCTTGGATGAATAACACATACGTTTCCCCATGTGTCAGGTATTATGGAAGATACTGGAATCACACAGTTCAACGTTCATTATTTTATTGAACAATTGTATTTCTGGGGCTTTGTGGAAGGGTTGAAATAAAGATTCTTTGCTGGGTCTGTTTCCACTGTTTTAACTCACTGTGCTGTTAGCATTTGACAGTTTTCTTTCTTTGTACATTCGGTGTAAATTTCCTTACATAGTTAGCTAATGTTACGGTCATGCTATTTGTGTTCAATCAGATGATCTCACTGTCACTCAGTTTTCTTTCTGAAGTAACTAAATTAGAAACTTCTAATTGCACTTCTGGAAAGAGATATTAGTAGTTTCTGAATAGAATAATTATTGATAGGTTTCTGTCTCATTGCAGGTATCAGTATATACAAGTGTTCCAGCTTTAATATGTTAATGTATATAATGTTCAATATGTGCAAATTAAACCATTTCCATTAACAGCACATATAACATTTTATTTGAGAATATTAACTCACCACTTTGTAGTAGAGAAGACTAATGAGTTTGTTATGTCAAACGTACTTTTCTTATAAAGCTAAAATGTTGTTTTTGTTGCAGTGCTGGAAATGTACAGTAAGCTGAAAGAACAGATGAGCATGAAAAGGTGAGTTCGCTTCTCTGTTGTCTTAAGAGTCCTTATCAGTAAGCACAGGTCAACTCAGTGTGGATTACAGTGAAGCTGAATTTTCTGTCTTAACTCTAACCTTTCTCATGCAACATGTTTATCTTTATCACTCAGTAAAGCAAACTGTAGCCGTGTATTTATGAATCTTTGTCCTTTATAAGTGATATGAACGATTGGTAGTGCTGATAGAGGATAAATAGACAACTCAAAAGGAGTCAGAATTTTGTTAACTTACTGACATATTTTACTATAATGGGTACAGGATGTGGGCTGAAGGCAGAGCACAGGTGATTAGGAGCTGACAGCCAGGACAGTGTGCTTCACCTTCTGCTTCATAATACAGATGAAAACATGACATGAAAAGTAATATAAAGTGGTTTATTGATTGCCATAGGAACACTGATAAAATGATGTCCAAGGTGTTTAAAAATGAACAACTCCAAAGTAACATTGAAAAGCCAAAATAAACAAGACACATGTGGATTGGGAAATAATTTTTAATTATTTATAAGCAATTATAACATGTAATAGACAAATCCATAGTCAGTGAATACCTTGCTTTATAGTGCTGCACCTTGAATTTCAGTAGGTTTGCCAATTTGTATTAATTTGTAGAATAGTAATTTTTCCTTACTAAACATAAATAAGCCAGAAAAGGTAAGTCTTTTGTTTATATACTACTAGTATGTTCTCTTTTTGTATTATGCATTCTCATATTTTAAACTTCAAAAAGTTTTATGTGTTTGTTGCAAAAAACAAGCAATCTGCCCCTATCCCCCAAGCCCACCAGGGTTTATTTTCCCTTCTTTTCATTGACCAGCTAGCAGCAGAGTAAGAAAGATATTCAGAAATAGAAAAAAGTAAAAGCTCAGAGGCAAAAGATAGATAGGATAATTTAAAGATAAGAAAAGCTGGCAAGAAACAAGCCAAGCTAAAGCCAGGCATTCATAAGTAAGAATAAGACTCTGTGATGTTTGGAAGCTGGGTGGAGGACCCCCTAAAAGAGCACAATCAAACAACATTTTGGCACCCAACATGGGGCTAGAGTAACAGATCTGGCTGCTTCTGTTTCTCAAGTGCTGAGATTAAAGGCATGCACCACCACTGCCCAGCTTCATTTTTTATCTTTTTCCTTAAGAAAACAAAGCAATAAGCCTAAAAGTTCTGTAAATTCTTTCTGATGTGTTTTATTGGCCTTTGTTTTTAGTATGCCTAGGTACTTGGGGAGCCACCTTTTAGAACACTTTGTCTCTATTTTATGTATTTGAGTGTTTTGCCTGCTTGTATGTACGTGCACTGTGTGTGCACTTGGTGCCTACAGAAGCCAAAAGTGGGTATTGGACTCCCTGGGACTGGAGTTACAGTTGGCTGTGAACTGCCACGTAGATGCTGGAAACCAAACTGTGGTCCTGTCCACTGCAAAAGGAGCAAGTATCCTTAATTGCAGAGCTATCTCTTCAGCCCTAGGAGCCACACTTTAACTTGGAAACTAATCTTTAATCTTATAATGTGCTAGGAAATTTTCTTGACATAAATTTGCTTAGAGTACTGACCTATTCTTTCCCCCTCTCCTTCTCTCCTTCCCTCCCTCCCTCACTCTCTTCCTCCTTTCTTCAGAAACAGCATCTTACTATATCCCACCATACACTTGAACTTATGACCATTCTGCCTCAGGCTTCCAAATACTGGCATGTAGCAAACTTTTTAGTCAGATTGTCTTTGGACCTCCAGCCTGTGAATAATGATCTGGAGACTTATTATTAATTATAAAATCTTGGCCTTAGCTTAGGATTTTTCCCAACTAGGTTTTGTAACTTAATTGACCCATTTTTTTAAAATCTATGTTCTGCCATATGTAGACAAATTTCTAAACAGTCTTATTAAATAAGAAACACAGAGCCAAATAGTCAAAGAGATCAGAGAAATAGCGAATGGCCACCCACTAACCTTAGCTCACCACCTCACCGTAGCTTCCCAAGCGAGAGTCTTCCTGTCTAACCTGTGCTTTTATTGCCTTCCTGTTCTGCCTTCTCATTGGCTCTAAGCCCAGCCACATCACTTCCTTGTCACTGCCTGTCTATACAGACCTCCAGGTCTCTGTGGTTGGTACTGGGATTAAAGGTGTGTGTTAGCTTGGCTGTGTTCTTGACCACACATAGACTCTGCCTGCCATGTGATCAGATTAAGGGCATGGGCCACCACCACCTGACTTCTGTTTATGGCTTGCTATGACCTCTGATTTCCATGCAAACTTTATTTATTAACATATAAATAAAATATCACATTTCAGCACAAATAAAATACCACCACAGCCATATGGCTCAGTTACCTCTCCTTAGTATGGCACGTCTGACTTACAGTCTGCTGGTGAAATCCTCACGCCTAGATTCCTCCTTCTCTCTCTCTCTGGAAAGCCTGCTTATCCTCTCCTGCCTAGCTATTGACCCTTCAGCTCTTTATTAAACCAATCAGAAGGCATCTTAGGCAGGGGACACATCTCTGTAATATACACAAATATTCTGTAACACTGACAGGACAGGCATGAGCCACGCCTTGTCACAAGAGTTGATACATTCTTTTTTCCACTATTTTTCAGTTTAAAGCATTTTATAGTTTTCCTTGGATCTTTGAAACTTAGGATGTTTATAAGTGTGTTGTTTATGCTTCTGAGTCCAGGAACCACTTGATCAAGTTACATACTGTTTCAGTTTTCTCATCATAGTTTATAAGTAGTATCGACTGCCAATAGATTATACCTCAGAGGCTTGAAAGGAAGCAGCAGCCCGTGAAAGTGTGTGTCAGTTTCTCTGGGGCACAAGCTCTTGGTTCCTAATTACTATACACCTGATAGGTCCCGTAGTGCCTGGCAAATAGTGGGTATTCAGGAAATATTGGTTGAATTGAAAGAAATCACTCGACAAGTGATTTTCATCTGACTTTTGAGACACTTAGTAATATTTCTAATTAAATAGTAGCATAAAATAGTCTAAAAGAAAGTTAAATTTTATGTTTATTTAGACTGAATCGTGCTATAGTTTTTGATGGTATCGTGTGGGTAGATGTTATGGTAGGAGAGATAGTAAGAAATTGCATGTTGAATAATTTAGTATTGTATTGTGATTTGTAAATTTATTTACAGTTAAGACATTGTAACAACTATGATTATGTTCCTCATATAGATTTAGATGGAATTAAGTAAAGAAGGTTATGTTAGTGGAAGCCATGAGTGTTAGCTGCCAATGTGTGTCTAGTATACATAGTTGTGTTTAGTAATAGAGATAAATATTAATTTTATTTCCTCCCTGGTGCTGTATATGGAACCCGAGGCCTGTGTGTGCCAGGCAGATGTCCCAGCACCAAGAGTCCAGTCGCAGTCACTTCTCTTCGAGGGGAGTGTCAGCCTGATTCATTACTTGGGTTTGCTTGTGAAATTAGTTGACGTGAACTTTTTACGGTTTCCTTTTCACCTCTCACAGGTATTATTCTGCACTTAAAACAATGGAACAGTTAGAGAACGTGTACTTTCCCCGGGTCAGTCAGTACCGTTTCTGTCAGCTGATGATAGACACACTTCCTAAACTCCGGGAAGATATCAAAGAAATCTCCATGTCTGATCTCAAGGACTTTCTGGAAAGCATTCGAAAGCATTCTGACAAAATAGGTGAAACAGCCATGAAGCAGGTGAGTTTAACATTTTAGCTTAATATTCTTGATTTTAGGATGTAAAATATGGCCAAGGTTAACCTCTTGACATGCTTATTTGTGTTTAAGCTTACCATTTTCTAATCATCCCTAGTCCTCCTTTAGAATGGATTTTATTCAGTATTTTCTCTGGACTTACAGATATTTTAAATGTTTAAGTAAAGTCAGTGTAACTGAATTCCTGAGTCGTTCACCAGGCAAACTCAGCAGCCGTCCTTTCCTTCACGCGGTTTTGCACTAATGTTTTCTAGCAGTCACCTCTGCCTAAAAAATAAGTGTCAGCCACAGGGGTGAAGCCAGTTGTATGCTAAGGTCCTAAATTGCTCCTTTTTAAAGATTGATCTTTATTATTTTTATTATGTGTATGTGCCCGTGTCTGGGTGTAGGTGTGTATTTGTGAGTGCAGGTGCCTGAGGCAGCCAGAAGTATTGGATCCCCTGAAGATGCGGTTATAGGTCATTGTGGGCTGCCTGAAGTGGATGCTGAGGACTGACCTCTTGTCCTCTGCAAGAGTAGCAAGTGCTCTTAATGCTGAGCCCTCTCCCATAAATTGTTCCTCTTAAAAACATACTAAAAATGCAGTTGGAATTAAAACCTACAGTTCAATAATAAGATGGGAAACAAGCATAATAGCTAGGCGGTGGTGGCGCATGCCTTTAATCTCAGCACTCTGGCAGCCTGGTCTACTGAATAAGTTCGAGGCCAGCCTGGTCTACTAAGTAAGTTCGAGGCCATCCTGGGCTACAGAGAGAAACCTTGTCTCAAAAAAACCAACAAAACAAAACAAAAGAAACAAGCATAATAAAAGATAAAATGCAGTGTGGCAATGAGCAGAGCTGAAATCGGATCTTAATCTTTCAAATAAAATTGATAATCTTTTGTGGGAGTATTTGAAAGAGAAGAAGAAAGTACAAATCAGGAATTAAAAATAGGACATTGCTACAGATCTTACACCTACATTTAAATAATAAATCATTGGGGTTGGAGATGGCTCCGTGGGTAAAGTACTTGCCAGGCATGAGGACCTGAGTTTGATCCCCAGAACCCACATAAAAGAGCCAGACATGGTGTGTGCTTGTAATCTCAGCCCTGGAGAGGCAGATAGGGACAGATTATGGACAGATCACTTGGGATCACTTGGTCAGCCCTAGTCTCAGTGAGAGATCTCATCTCATTCAATCAATCAATTAATCAATCAATCAGTCAATCATGATCCTGAGGAATGGGGCTTGAGTTTGACCTCACATGCACATGCTTCCCCCAGCCCCAACACACACAAGAAACAACTTAGAAAAAGGAATATGTTATGAGTACTTTTTGGAGCCCTGTATGGTGACCCACAACTATAAACCTAGCATTTGGCAAGCGGAAGTGGGAACACCAAGTTTGTGGCCAGGCTGAGATACATAGTGAGTACCAGTTCAACCTGGCTGTATATAAACAGGTAGTTAGCTAGATGGATGGGTGGGTAGATAGTAGATGTTGGTTTTGACTAGAATCAATTTTGAAATAATTCGAACTTTGTTCTCCTTAAAATAGGCCCAACAGCAGAAAAGCTTCAGTGTTGCTCTGCAGAAGCAAAATAATGTGAGGTTTGGGAAAAATATGCATGTAAATAATGACAGAATTCTAGAAGAAAAGAATGACATTGTATTGAAACATGTACTTGAAGAGGAGGCTGAGAATGAAGAGGAGGTAATGGGATTTCTTTCTTCCTTTATTAGTGAATAATTTTTTGCTTCATGAAGTACTGTGTTTTCCATGTGCAAATTGATTATGTCCATCAGTCCATAGTGGACAGTGAATGATCTGAAATACTGGACTACATATTTGATATGCAGACGGGATATGCTGCAGACTATATTTATGTAGATAGTAGAGCTTAGCTGTTTGGCATAGTTAGTAGTAAAACTAAATTTCATCTTTTTTTTGTAGTAACTGTATTTGAACTAGCTGTGACAAATTTTTATTTCATCATTTTATTTTATATCATTTTATTTTAGTGTATGTGTGCATAAGTGTATTTTTCTTCCATCTCTCTCTCTTTTTTTGGTCTTTTGAGACAAAGTTTCTCTGTGTAGCCCAGGCTGTCCTGGAACTTGCTCTGAAGACCAGGCTGGCCTCGAACTCAGAGATCTGCCTGCCTCTGCCTCCTAGGTGCTGGGATTAAAGGCGTGTGCCACCACCGCCCGGCTCCTTCCATCTCTTATGTGGGTTTCAGGGACCAACCCCAGGTGACCAGGCTTGTGTGGCAAGCACTGAGCCATCTCATTGATGCCACCTTAGTTTTTCTGAGACTGGGTCTCACTGGGCCTGGTGCTCTCTGATTGGTTAGGCTGACTGGTGAATGAGTTCCAGACACCCACGCGTTTCCCATCCCGCAGTGCTGGGTGTTGCCACTCCCACCAGTTTTATGTGGGTTCTGGGGATCCAGAGTCACTTCCTTGTGCCTTTGTGGTAAGCACTAGTAAGACAAATTAATAAAAACCTGGAGCCAGATATTGGGGTAAATTCTGAAAGATCAGAGGAATAGGACAGTCAAAGCCAACCTCACCTCACCAACCCTCAGCTTCCAAACAGACCTACTCCCTGTGTACCCACGCCTATATTCCTTTCTGTTCTGCCATCTCATTTCTTCTCTCCACCCAGCTGCATCACTTCTTCTTCCTGCCCACCTCTGTCACTTCCTGACTGTCTGTACAGACCTCCAGACCTTTATGGCTAACTAGTGTTGGAGTTTAAGGCATGTGCCACCACACCTGGTTCTGTTCCCAGTGTGGCTTTGAACTCACAGAGATCCAGACAAATCCCTGCCTCCCTAGTGATAGGATTAAAGGCATGTGCTATTGGTGAAATTATTAAGGCCACTCTACGTAGTTAAAGGGAGATTTATTTAATGGCATAACTTACAAATTAAGGGATAGGTAGGTCGCGGAGTCTGGGGAAGGTGTATTGCAGTCCAGCGGTGTTCTCTGGAGCTCTGCTCAGTCCACCTCCACTATCCAGGGTTCCGCCACAGAGCGCGCCCCCGCCGATCCAGCTCTCGGGTCCCCAGGTGCCTCCCTTGGCCCCGCCTTGTAGGTGTGACAGTTGCCGAAGTCTCAATGGGGGTTGGAACTTCCAGATCAAAGCTGGAATGGCTACCCACTACATCTCCCCCTTTTTGTCTAAATAAGAAAGTTCTAACCTAATACAAGACTATATACAAAGGAATGGTTATCAAATATTGTCCAGGAATAATGAGGGATAATGACCTAGATAAGATGGAAGTACAACCAATGCAAACAATATCAAGCAAGAAACACATACTAAAGTCCAGAGAAGTATAGAGCATAGGTAAATGGCATGTTACAAAGATCATTCCAAAAGGTGTCCTATCCTAAAGAACCTGAATCTAATACTTAATATGTTCTATCTACTAAGTTGTAACTATAACTGGATGAGAGAGACACTGCCAGCCACCATCAGGACAAAAAAGATGTAAAGTACCCGTAAGCCACAAGCCACGTGGCAAGGTATAGATTAATAGAAATGGATTAATTTAAGCTGTAAGAACAGTTAACAAAAAGCCTGGTACGGCCATACAGTTTGTAACCAATATAAGTCTCTGTGTTTATTTGGTTGGGTCTGAATGGCTGTGGGACTGGCGGGTGTCAGAGATTTGTCCTGACTGTGGGCCAGACAGGAAAACTCTAACTACAATGTGCTACCATTGCCTGACTTCTGTGTCTAATATAGTGGCTGGCTTTTTCCTCTGATCCTCAGATAAACTTTATTGGGGGACACAAGATAAAATATCACCACAAGCACTTTATGGACTGAACTGTTTCCCCAACCTTCTGACATTTTATTTCAATTTATATTGAGGGACTACAAAATAATTCTGTTGTAGCTCCTGTTAAACTTTAAATATTTTAAATTAAATATTTGAAAATTCCATACAATATATTTTGAGCATACCCACCACCCCAGCTCCTCCTGTTACCATGCTTTTAACCTTCCCATCCTTTCCCACCAACTTTGAGTTAGAATTTGACAGCTGCTGGGACTTCTTCCTTTCTTCTTTCTTCCTCTTCTTCCTCTCCCTCTTTCCCCTCCTAATTCTCCTCTTCCTTCCTTCCTTTACCTTCTAGCCCCATTGAATTCAGTGTGTGTTGCCCAGCTAGCCTTGAGGATGGGGCCTGCCTGGCCTGTGGTTGACCTACCAGAGGCCACATCATTAAAAAGACAAACAAGGTGACTTCTTTTCCCAGCAGCTGTCAGATTCCAGTAGGTCCTCAGCTAAGACTGGGGTAATGTGTCCGCTTCCCCACTCTGCTGGGAATTTGCCAGCTGGATCTTGCTCAGGTCTTCTGCATGCTGTCACAGTTGCTGGGAGTTCATATGTACATCTACCCTGTTCTTCTGGAAAACAGTTTCCTGAAAGTTGTCTACCACCTCTGGCCCTTACACCTCCTCTTCCACAAGGATCTCTGAGCCTTTGGATGAGTAGTGTGATATGGAGGTCTGATTTAGGGCTGAGCACGCCACAACCTTTTGTTCTCTGCATACTGAACAATTGGTGGTCTCTGTGATTAACTGTCATCTTTTAAAAAAATGATTATTTTATGTGCATTGGTGTTTTGCTCGAATGTATGTCTTTGTGAGGGTCTCGAATCCCCTGAAACTGGAGTTACAGCTTTTGTGAGCTGCCACATAGGTGCTGGGAATTGAACCAGGGTCCTCTGGAAGAACAGTCTGTGCTCTTATTCACTGAGCCATCTCTCCAATTCCATCCTTTATTTCAAATCAGTGTTTTTAGAAGTAGGGAAAAGGACATACATAGCTCAGTGATGCAGGGCTTGTAGAGGGCCCTACTAAAAAAAGTTTTTTGTTTCGTTTTTGTTTTTGTTTTTATAAACATGTGCATTGTGTGAAGGTGTCAGGTCCTGGAACTGGAGTTACAGACAGTCATGTGCTGCCATGTGGGTGCTGGGAATTGAACCCCTGTCCTCTGGAAGAGCAGTTAGTGCTCTTAACCACTGAGCCATCTCTCCAGCCCCTGAAAAAAGTTTTTAAAGTAGATGGACAACCCATGTTGGATTCATTCTGATAAATCCCTGAATAGCTGAAGTTGCTTCCTATATAAGTTGTCATTGGAGACAAATATAATTTTTTTAGGTTGAATTTTGAGATAGTATGCACATTGTAAGCTTGCTTTCACTGTGAGACACTTTCTAAAATTAACATCTTTGCTCTTAATATTCAGAGGACTTCTGTGTTCTTTTCTCCTTTGAAGTTGTGGGTCATAAAAACAGACCATTCTTAACTCAGTTTCCCTGTCTGTTTTGCGCATCTCTAACTGTTGGCAGTGTTAGAATCATATGTTAACTCGAAGTCCATTGCTTAAGGCACTTTCGTTGGTTCCTGTTCTTTTGGATCCCTTTTACTGTTTCTATATTTTGTTTTCATAATTTTCCCTAATAAGTAAGAGTATAATCTATTCAGGATTGTGAGCATAGAAATGTGTTCCTTTTATAGAAGAATTCACAGATTTCTCAAGTTTGTGAGACTTTATACTTTTTTGTTGTTGTTGATTTGGGTTTTTTGAGACTGGGTTTCTCTGTGTAACAGCTCTGGTTGACCTGGAACTCACTCTGTAGACCAGGCTGGCCTTGAAATCACGGAAATCCGCCTGCCTCTGCCTCTTGAATGCTGGATTACAGGCATGTGTCACCACTGCCCAGTTACTTGATACTATTTTTAATCAGTTCTAAGGAATACTTTTTTGCACTATAACATAATGTGAATACTTTTTATATTATATATTCTAGAAGCTGGCATGCATCTTAAAATTGTTATACTAATTTTAAGTAGTTATGCATTTTTTAAAAACATGGTCCATGGGAGGCAGTGGTGAAAATCATATGGTTTTGCTACTTTAAATGGAACTTTGTTTAAAGCTAGAGTGTAAATTCATGAATTACTTTAAACAAAGCAATAATGAATATGTAGTTATCACAGCAATTTTCTAATATTCTATCAAACATGATACAGTTATGTTTTATACTCAATGGTAGAGTGCTTGTTTAGCATGTACAAGGCCCTTGGGTTAGTTCACAGTATAGGAAAAAAAGTATTTTTTCTGTAATCTATAGCAGTCAACAACAGTAGTAAACATATAAGGAACAGGCTACAAAAGCAAAGAAGTGAAGTGAATGGGTGTGTTCTTATTGTATGTCTGCTGTAGGAGAATTAAAGACATACTGTAACAGTCTGTGGATCGCTCGATATCTGTCTTTAACTTTGTATTATCTAGTAGTTTAACCTATCATTTTAAAAATAGATTTATTTTTTAGGTCTTAACTGTTCAAGATCTCGTTGATTTTTCCCCTGTTTACCGATGCTTACACATTTATTCTGCTTTGGTGAGTATTTTTGCCAGTTCTGACCTTATAGAATCCCATGGTGATGCGCTTTTGATATGCTAAGTGTATCATAGTCTGTATCATCTAGGAATGTGTAAGTGCACCCTGTGATGTCCACAGAATGATGACTTTGGTGCATTTCTCAGAACAGGAGACTGTACTTCCATCTCTCTCTTTCCTGTTGAGGTTAAGTGGATAGTTACTTTTTAATATTGTATTTCAGTGTGTGTTTATTCCACATTATATTGTTAGTACTTTTGATCAAGCAGTCAGTTACCTATTTTTAAATCATTTCTTTTTCAAGATGTAATTCAGGACTAGAGCTTAGTTGTAGAGTGTCTTTTTAGCATGTGTGATGCTCTGGGTTCTAACCCCAGCACTACCACCAAAAAGAACGCAAGGAAGAAAGGAATAAACTCTCTCTGTATGTGTGTATATGTGTGCACGTGTGTGTTCATATGTCTGGTTGTATTTTGAGGGTACACAGGTATGCATACATGTGTGTGCATGTATATTGAGACCAGAGGTTAACTTCAGGAGTCATTAGGTGTTGTCTACCTTATTTGTGTGTGTGCGTGCGTGTGTGTGTGTGTGTGTGTGTGTGTGTGTGTGTGTGTGTGTGTGTGAATGTAGAGGCCAGACACCAACCTTGAATGTCATTCATTCATTCCTCAGGTACCGTGTATTTTGGATAGTATAGAAACACAATACTTTGTCTATATCATGACGAAGTAATTCTTCCTCTCAGAGTCTTTCAAAGCTGCTATTTTCTTTTTTATAATGTCAGGTGATAGTTATGCATTTAGCTGTATTTCCTCCTGAGACAAGCAGAGGCTAGGCTAGACTGTTGCATAATACTGGAAATACGGTTCCTGTTGCCTAGTTATGGGTTTGGGATATTGGTTGTTTTGTTTTTAACTCAGTCTCATTGACTTTGAGTCAAACTGAAAATATCAGCCATATAAGTTTACTCTACTGTGGTTTAATTCTTTGACTACTCCTGCCAATCATGTTGAGTTTGGTAGGGAATGATTTTGTGTTTGACAGTACTTTATTTTTCTATCCCTGCAGCCCCCTTTCTCTCCTCCCTTCCCTTCTTTTTCATTTTTGACAGAATCTTATATAGCCCAGCCTGGCCTTGAACTTACTGTGTGGCCAAGGATAACCTTGAACTTGATGGTCCTCTCTGCCATTGGCTGGGTTATGTGGTGCTGGAGATTGAATCTAGGGCCTTGTGCGTACTAGACAATCCCTCTACCACTTGAGACACATTCCCAGTGCCTTAGCTCTCTCTACTTTTATTTTGAGACAGGGTCTCACTAAGTTGTCCAGGTTGACCTTGAACTTGTGATCCTTCTGTCTTAGCCTCTTGAGTAGCTGGGCTCAGGTCTGTGCCACCAAGCCTGGCTGATGTTTTATATTCCATGTCTTTTATTATAAACAAAGTTGAGTTTTGTTATTTTGTATACTACTTTTTTTTTTTTTTTAGCTTATTGACTTTTGTGGTTGGTGCTTTTCTGACAGATTTTTTTGAATTTTTTTTTTTTAAGAATCTCATTTCTTTCTTTTTTTTTTTTTTTTTTTTGGTCTTTCGAGACAGGGTTTCTCTGTGTAGCTTTGCGCCTTTCCTGGGACTCGCTTGGTAGCCCAGGCTGGCCTCGAACTCACAGAGATCCGCCTGGCTCTGCCTCCCGAGTGCTGGGATTAAAGGCGTGCGCCACCATCGCCCGGCTTCTTTCTTTTTTTAAACGTCTATTCTTCTCTCATACATTGCATCTTGATCACAGTTTCTCCTCCATCCATTCCTCCCAGTCCCCTCCCACACCTGTTCTCTCCAGCAGATCAACTCCTTCTCCATTTCCCTTAAAACAAACAAACAAACAAACAACCCACCCCCCAAAAAAAGAGCAGGCCTCCCAGGGATATCCACCAAACATGGCCTATCAAGTAACAATAAGACTGGGCACAAACCCTCATATCAAGGCTGGATGAGGCAGTAGGAGGAAAGGGGTCCCAAGCACAGGCAAAAGAGTCAGACAACCCCCCGCCCCCGCCCCCACACACATACATACTACTTCTATTGTTAGGAGTCTCATAAGAACACCAAGCTACACAACCATAACACATGTGAAGGGGGCCTAGCTCAGACCCACGCAGGGTCCATGATTGTTTCTTCACTCTCTGTGAGTTCCTATGAGCCCTGCTTAATTGAGTCTGTGGGCCATGCTCTCCTGGTGTCCTAGAGCCCTCTGGCTCCTACAATCCTTCCTCCCCGCAGGCTTTCTGCGAGGGTTCCCCAGGCTCACCTAGTGTTTGGCTGCGGATCTCTGCATCTGCTCCCATCAGTTGCTGGATGGCGCCCCTCTGATGACAATTGGGCACCAATTTGTAAGTATAGCTATGAGAGTATCATAAGGAATCATTTCATTGGATTTTTTTTTTAGTCGTATTTGGTTCTATCCTGGGTCTGTGAGCGGTCCAGTCCCTGGTTCCTGGCCATTCAGGCATGTCAGGCAGGAGCTCCTTCTTGTAGCCTTGTGGTGTGGGCCTCAAGTTAGACCACTCAATGATTGGCCACTCCCACAAGTTCTGCACCATTGCCCCAGCACATCTTGCAGGCAGGACAAATTGTAGGTTGAAGGTTTTGTGGCTGGGTTGATGTCCCAGCCACACTGCTGGGAACCTTGCCTGGTTATAGAAGATGGCCAGTTTGGGCTCCATATCTCCAACTGCTAGAAGCCATCAAAGGCTAGGCTCACAACCCCAAAACAAACAAACAAACAAACAAACAACCCCCCCGTTTTTTTAAAAGGCTGGAAAGATTTTACTGCTGGACAAACCTCCCCCCCTTTTTTTTTAAAGGCTAGAAAGATTTTACTGCTGGACCTGGTGTAACTTACTTGTAATCCTATCCTGAGGAGGAGGTTGAGGCAGGAGGATCACAAGTTGGAAGATAGCCTGGGCTACATAAGGAGATCTGTCTTAAAAAGACTGGCCATTTTGAGAAGTGTCTGTTTGTTTCTTCCTCCCTGGTTAATCCTGGTGGCTTTGTGCTTTACTGTCTTGGATATATTTGATTCTTGTGTGGTTCTCACAGGCTTATCTGTTTCTCTTGCATGTGTGATTGCGCTAAGTATCTTAGGCAATTCTAGGTTAGTAGTCATGGATTGCCTCTGTTTGTGCTTATCTTGGATGTTTCTATTTCTTTTCCAGTTTTCGGAGATGCTTTTGCTGGGTGTGGAGTATTAGTAAACAGTTATTTACTCTCAGGGCTTGAAGTAGATGACTTTATACTTCCTTGGCTTGTAGGGCTTTTGCTGAAAGCTCTCATGTAACTCTGTGGGTTTGATTTTGTAACTGAGTTGGCATTTTCTCTTGCAAATTCCAGCATTTTTTCTTGGCCTATGGTTTTGGTATTTTATCTATAATGTGGCATGGATGGATTCTTTTTTGATCATGTCTGTTTAGATTCTAGTTCTCTTGTACTTGAGTATCCATATATTTCCCTAGATTTTCAATTCCTCTTGGCAGTAATTTCCTTCAGAGTGTTTTCCGTGCCTTTGGCTTGCAGTTCATTTCCTTTTTCACCATGGATGTTGAGGCTTGTTCTTCAGATTCTTCTGATTATATCTTAGAATTGTTGAGAGCTTTTTTTCTTTATCACTATCTGAAGTTTCCTCCACCTCATCTCAAATGCCTGTGTTCTCTGTCCTGTTCTAGTCTCTCCAGTGCCTGTGTTCTCTGTTCTGTCCTAGTCTCTCCAGTGTCTGTGTTCTCTGTCCTGTTCTAGTCTCTCCAGTGTCTGTGTTCTCTGTCCTGTTCTAGTCTCTCCAGTGCCTGTGTTCTCTGTCCTGTTCTAGTCTCTCCAGTGTCTGTGTTCTCTGTCCTGTTCTAGTCTCTCCAGTGCCTGTGTTCTCTGTCCTGTCCTAGTCTCTCCAGTGTCTGTGTTCTCTGTCCTGTTCTAGTCTCTCCAGTGTCTGTGTTCTCTGTCCTGTTCTAGTCTCTCCAGTGTCTGTGTTCTCTGTCCTGTCCTAGTCTCTCCAGTGCCTGTGTTCTCTGTCCTGTTCTAGTCTCTCCAGTGCCTGTTTTCTCTGTCCTGTTCTAGTCTCTCCAGTGTCTATTCTCTGTCCTGTCCTAGTCTCTCCAGTGTCTGTGTTCTCTGTCCTAGTCTCTCCAGTGCCTGTGTTCTCTGTCCTGTTCTAGTCTCTCCAGTGTCTATTCTCTGTCCTGTCCTAGTCTCTCCAGTGTCTGTGTTCTCTGTCCTGTTCTAGTCTCTCCAGTGTCTGTGTTCTCTGTCCTTCTAGTCTCTCCAGTGCCTGTGTTCTCTGTTCTGTCCTAGTCTCTCCAGTGTCTGTGTTCTCTGTCCTGTTCTAGTCTCTCCAGTATCTGTGTTCTCTGTCCTGTTCTAGTCTCTCCAGTGCCTGTGTTCTCTGTCCTGTTCTAGTCTCTCCAGTGTCTGTGTTCTCTGTCCTGTTCTAGTCTCTCCAGTGCCTGTGTTCTCTGTCCTGTCCTAGTCTCTCCAGTGTCTGTGTTCTCTGTCCTGTTCTAGTCTCTCCAGTGTCTGTGTTCTCTGTCCTGTTCTAGTCTCTCCAGTGTCTGTGTTCTCTGTCCTGTCCTAGTCTCTCCAGTGCCTGTGTTCTCTGTCCTGTTCTAGTCTCTCCAGTGCCTGTTTTCTCTGTCCTGTTCTAGTCTCTCCAGTGTCTATTCTCTGTCCTGTCCTAGTCTCTCCAGTGTCTGTGTTCTCTGTCCTAGTCTCTCCAGTGCCTGTGTTCTCTGTCCTGTTCTAGTCTCTCCAGTGTCTATTCTCTGTCCTGTCCTAGTCTCTCCAGTGTCTGTGTTCTCTGTCCTGTTCTAGTCTCTCCAGTGTCTGTGTTCTCTGTCCTTCTAGTCTCTCCAGTGCCTGTGTTCTCTGTCCTGTTCTAGTCTCTCCAGTGTCTGTGTTCTCTGTCCTGTTCTAGTCTCTCCAGTGCCTGTGTTCTCTGTCCTGTTCTAGTCTCTCCAGTGCCTGTGTTCTCTGTCCTGTTCTAGTCTCTCCAGTGTCTGTTTTCTCTGTCCTGTTCTAGTCTCTCCAGTGCCTGTTTTCTCTGTCCTAGTCTCTCCAGTGCCTGTGTTCTCTGTCCTGTTCTAGTCTCTCCAGTGTCTGTTTTCTCTGTCCTGTCCTAGTCTCTCCAGTGCCTGTGTTCTCTGTCCTTCTAGTCTCTCCAGTGCCTGTTCTCTGTCCTGTTCTAGTGTCTCCAGTGCCTGTGTTCTCTGTCCTGTTCTAGTCTCTCCAGTGTCTGTGTTCTCTGTCCTGTTCTAGTCTCTCCAGTGCCTGTGTTCTCTGTCCTGTCCTAGTCTCTCCAGTGTCTGTGTTCTCTGTCCTGTTCTAGTCTCTCCAGTGCCTGTGTTCTCTGTCCTGTTCTAGTCTCTCCAGTGCCTGTGTTCTCTGTCCTGTTCTAGTCTCTCCAGTGTCTGTTTTCTCTGTCCTGTTCTAGTCTCTCCAGTGCCTGTTTTCTCTGTCCTGTTCTAGTCTCTCCAGTGTCTGTGTTCTCTGTCCTTCTAGTCTCTCCAGTGCCTGTGTTCTCTGTCCTTCTAGTCTCTCCAGTGTCTGTGTTCTCTGTCCTGTTCTAGTCTCTCCAGTGCCTGTGTTCTCTGTCCTAGTCTCTCCAGTGCCTGTGTTCTCTGTCCTGTTCTAGTCTCTCCAGTGCCTGTGTTCTCTGTCCTTCTAGTCTCTCCAGTGTCTGTGTTCTCTGTTCTGTCCTAGTCTCTCCAGTGTCTGTGTTCTCTGTCCTTCTAGTCTCTCCAGTGCCTGTGTTCTCTGTCCTTCTAGTCTCTCCAGTGTCTGTGTTCTCTGTCCTGTTCTAGTCTCTCCAGTGCCTGTGTTCTCTGTCCTAGTCTCTCCAGTGCCTGTGTTCTCTGTCCTGTTCTAGTCTCTCCAGTGCCTGTGTTCTCTGTCCTTCTAGTCTCTCCAGTGTCTGTGTTTTCTGTCCTGTTCTAGTCTCTCCAGTGCCTGTGTTCTCTGTCCTGTTCTAGTCTCTCCAGTGCCTGTGTTCTCTGTCCTGTTCTAGTCTCTCCAGTGTCTGTGTTCTCTGTCCTTCTAGTCTCTCCAGTGCCTGTGTTCTCTGTCCTTCTAGTCTCTCCAGTGCCTGTGTTCTCTGTCCTGTTCTAGTCTCTCCAGTGCCTGTGTTCTCTGTCCTGTTCTAGTCTCTCCAGTGCCTGTGTTCTCTGTCCTGTCCTAGTCTCTCCAGTGTCTGTGTTCTCTGTCCTGTTCTAGTCTCTCCAGTGCCTGTGTTCTCTGTCCTTCTAGTCTCTCCAGTGTCTGTGTTCTCTGTCCTGTTCTAGTCTCTCCAGTGTCTGTGGTCTCTGCCCTGTTGGCTGTCTCTTGGTGGCATTTTCCACCGAGTTACTTGATTTATTGAACTTTTCATTCCTCACATTTATATTTGGTTCTTTTCTTGAATTTCCGTTTCTTTGATGAATTTTTCATTCATGTTTCTGACTTGTCAGGCTCCAGGTTATCTGATCTCTTCACCTTCTGCTTGTTTTAACCCTTACTGGGGTATAAGACACATTCTCATGGATTCTTTGGTAGTTCATCTATTTGGGTCTTTTGATTCATTTGTTGAGGAATTAGGACTTGTGGAGATATCATTCTGTCTTGTTCGTAACATTTCTTATGGATTTCTGTACTGTGGTCTATGCATTTGTTGGGATTTTAAAAAAAATATTTATTTATTTATTATGTACACAGTGTTCTGTCTGCATGTATGCTTACAGGCCAGAAGAGGGCACCGCATCGAATTATGGATGGTTGTGAGCCACCATGTGGTTGCTGGGAACTGAACTCAGGTCCTCTGGAAGAGCAGACAGTGCTCTTAACCGCCGAGCCATCTCTCCAGCCCTTGGGGATTTTTAAATTTTTTAGGAAATTTTTTAACCACTCTTTTGTTTCTTTGTTAGTTGTTTTGTTTTGTTTTTTTAAGATGGGGTTTCTCTGTTTAGCCTTGGCTGGCCTGGAACTCTATCTGTATGTAGATCAGGCTGGCCTCAAACTCACAGAGATCTGCCTGCCTCTGCCTCCCAGGTTCTGGGGTGACTCATATTTTATGGAAGCCTTTTTAGTGGATAGGCTTCTGGCTTTATGATCCCCAGTAAAGGTATTTTTTATGATTATATTCTCTAAATCACAGTGCAGAGTTTCATGTGAAAGGACATTGCTAATGTAGTAAAATCCTTACTAAAATGCTCATATCCAGCTGAGTGTGGTAGCGCAGGTTTGTCTCTGAGTGCTCAGAAGGCCAAGGCAAGAGAATTTCTGTAAGTTGGAGGCTAGCCAGGGCTATGTAGCAAGACTTTGTGTAAAAGAAAAAGAACACACTTGTTTCTGATAGCAGTAAACATTAAATATTAAAAACCATTGGATCGGCCGGGCGGTGGTGGCGCACGCCTTTAATCCCAGCACTCGGGAGGCAGAGCCAGGCGGATCTCTGTGAGTTCGAGGCCAGCCTGGACTACCAAGTGAGTTCCAGGAAAGGCGCAAAGCTACACAGAGAAACCCTGCCTCGAAAAACCAAAAAAAAAAAAAAAAAAAAAAAAAACCATTGGATCAATAATAAAACACTAACCCCCAAAAATGAACAAATAAAACAAAAATATTCAATTACATAAAAATTTAAAAGATACTAATTTTGAATACAAATGTATGTTTTGCTTACTCATTATTAGAACATAGCACATGTTTATGCTATTTGGATCAGTTAAGTACTAATTAGAATACTATTTATACCTGAAGCACAGGAATAATTATAACATCAAGATTCTTATAAGCTCAGAAAGAAAATAATCACTAAAACATTTTACATTAGAAAATATGACATTTGGACAAAACACATTAAATCAGGTAAATTTGTGTAAGGATGGTGTGTTCTTAGCAGGAGTTCAGAAGTAAAGGGCTGTGTGTCAGCTGTGTGGGTGAGAACTGTCCATGTATCTTAAGTAAGTGACGCTTGGCTCTGCTGAGATGAGGTGGTAATTTTATATTATGCTTAATGTCACATCCTCTGCTTTTGTCAAACTCTCAGTAAAAATTTTCAGTTAACGTATTGCTCAGTAACACAGTTATTTTGAAGTTCTTGGTAGCTGGAGCAGAAGAACATTAGAAGACTTTCCATAGGAAATACTTAAGCTTTTCTTCTGCATTATGAGTTTATTTTAGATGACATTTAGGAATGTAATGGTTTTATAGCTACTTAATATTAAAAAATCAATTTTTTTCTGTTGAGAATTTTTCTATTGTTAACTTTCCCTTTGTTTTTCCTTTGGAGTCTTAGATGAAGAGGAGAATGTGATTCCCACCTTTTCTTTGATTCTGAGAGGATTCTTACTAAGCAGATGGGGTAGAGATGTCTCTGTATCTATGTTGAACATCTTCCATATGTTGATGGTGCTGTGGCAGGAAGTGTGAATAACTGAAAATAACAGGCATTGGGACACTAGGGAAGGCTTCCTTAAGGACTTGACATTCAGGAGGTGTAGATGGACAAATCTCTCCCGCCTGCCTATTCCCCAGTAACCAGTTCAGAGGCTTACATTAATTACAGACTGTTTGGTCTATGGCTCAGGCTTATTGCTAGCTGGCTATTACATCTTAAATTAATTCATTTCTATTAATCTATGCATCGCCACATGTCTCGTGGCTTACCTGTGTTTATTACACCTTGCTTCTCCTGCAGCACTCAGCATCTCCCCTGACTCCGCCGCCTTCCTTCTCTCTGTGTCTTTCCTTGGATTTCCCGCCTGGCTCTGACCTGTCTTGCCATAGGCCAGAGCAGCTTCTTTATTAACTAATGGTAGCAACACATATTCACAGCATACAGAAAGACGTCCCACAGCAAGGAGGAGTCCCGGAAGATGAGTAAAAATGTCAGAGAGAGAGTGTGGACTGGGAACCGCCCATCGCCCATCGGGAAGAGCATGTGTAAAAGCCTGAGAGTGGGAGAGGGTAGTGAAGTATACACACGGACGGTGTGGCCGACCCGGAGAGAGAGAGAGACGGCGCATAGTCTGACAGCTGATTTCCGTGTTTAACAGCTCTCATTGAGAACTGTATTTTCAGTTTGGTCAGTGAAAAGCTTGTGAAGTTTACGTGGTAAATTAGGAAAATGTCTAATTGGTTGGACTTTATTTTAGGTAACTTTGAAATAAAGTTGCTAGTTTTGTTGTTGTTGTTTTGCTACAATGCCAAACCCTTTTTCTTAGCATCACTGTGAAATATGTCATTTACATTCCAGTTTGGAAAATTAACATGATTCCCAGAGGAGGGAAAGGGAAAGAGGGGGGTTGGAGGCGTCAGTCATGACCATCATTCTCCTGACGTTCTCTAGGGTGATGAAGAAACATTTGAAAATTATTACCGGAAGCAAAGGAAGAAGCAAGCTCGCCTGGTTCTGCAGCCGCAGTCGAGTGTGGTGAGTGTGAGCTTCCTGTGCCGTGACTCGGGGCTGTCAGCCCAGACCTGGCCTCAGTTTTCAGAGCATGTATCACTGCTCATTCACATATAAATATTTATTGAACACCTACTGTTTCTAGTAATTGATTTAGGTGCCAAGTGTGCAATAGTGAGCAAAATGGGGTCAGTCTCTTCTCTCATGAGTTTACATTCTATTAGGAAAGAAGACATTGAATTAAAAACAGATAAACCAGCAAAATGTCAGGGAGCAGTAATTTGTTTCTGACAATATCGTAAACTGTGTGCTGTGATTCTCTGTCACACTGAATGAAACGACTGAGGACCGTGGGTAGACTTTTTCTTTGTATTTTTATTTTTAATTATGTGTATGTGGCTGGGGGTGGGTTTGCATATGTGATTAGGATTACCTGCAGAGGCCAGGAGAGCATTGGATGTGTAGATAAATGTATGCTGATTGTAGGACATGTCAGTGTGATACTATGGACTTTAAGTTAAGACAATGAAAACATACAGCAGCAACACAGACATTGTAATGAAATGGAGTCCATGCACGTTACCTGTTCCACAGTGTTTGAATTGTCCAGAGCAGTAAGAACATTGGTTGTTGGGTGATGACTTAGGATGTACCATAAGGTTTGTGGAGTAACTTCTTGAAGAATAGAAACCATTTAGTGAGGTTAAAAAAAAAAAAAACTAGAGTAATGAAATAAAATGTGTATCTGTCTTAGTGTTGATTATTGTAGACCTAGAAACATTCATAACATTGACTCAAAAGATGCAAAACAGACTTGCCATGACTCCAAGGAGAAATGGAAAGACTCTGCATGCATCGTTGATGGCTTATAAACCAAGGAGGCAGAGTCCAGTACGATGCAGGCTGCGCTTTAGTGGACTTTGAGAGCCCCATTTCTACAGTTGAAAAGCACACTTTACTCAGCATATGTGTAGTGCTTGACAGACACTTTTTATTGCAGTACGATGCTATATAGCAACTACCAGAAAATATCAAAAATTTGTGTTGTATAGAGTACATTTTCTTTCTGTAGAGTTAGGGACTGAACCAAGCTCATCACAAATATTAGGCAAATAGTTATCTGCCACTGAATAATTCTCCTATCCCCTTGCATTTTTTTATTTTTTATTTTATTTATTTATTTATTTATTTTTGGTTTTTCGAGACAGGGTTTCTCTGTGTAACTTTGCGCCTTTCCTGGAACTCACTTGGTAGCCCAGGCTGGCCTCGAACTCACAGAGATCCACCTGGCTCTGCCTCCCCAGTGCTGGGATTAAAGGCGTGCACCACCACTGCCCAGCTGCATTTTTTTTATAATGCATTAAAAAAAATATTACAGGGGCTGGAGAGATGGCTCAGTGGTTAAGAGTATTTGTTACTCTTCCAGAGGTCACAGTTCAATTCTTAGCACCCACATGGCAGCTCACAATCCTCTGTGATTCCAGTCCCAGGGGATCTGATGCCTTCTTATGTCGTCCTTGGCACCACAAGCACATGATAAACAGATGTGCACTCAAGCAAACACTCATACCCATCAAATGAAAATAAATACCTCCAACCCCGTGTGTGTGTGTGTGTGTGTGTGTGTGTGTGAGTGTGTGTGTGTGTATGAGAGTGTGTGTGTGTGAGAGTGTGTGTGTGTGAGTGTGTGTGTGTGTGAGAGTGTGAGAGTGTGTGTATGTGTGTGTGAGAGTGTGTGTGTGTGAGTGTGTGAGTGTGTGTGTGTGTGAGAGTGTGTGAGTGTGTGTGTGTGTGTGTGTGTGCTCCAGTACCTTGTGAGGTCAAGGGACAGCTTGAAGGGCTTGGTTCTTTCCACCATGTGATTCCTGGTGAGTGAACTCACACTGTAGGCGTAGTGGCAAGTGGCCCTTCCCTGCTGAGCCGTCTGCTCAGCACTTGTCATGTTTTTAGTTAAAAAGTAGTAACAAGGCAGGTGAGATGGCTGAGGGGATAAGGGCACCTGCCTCCAATCCTGATAACCTGAGTTCAGTGCCTGGGACCCACAGGGTGGAGGCAGAGAACAGATTCCTGCAAGCTGTTCTCCATACGGATAGACAGACACCTGTAAGTAAACGTAATACATAATTACCACAAAGTGTTAATGACCCTTACTCCCTTCAAATGAAAGAGATCTTGACGTTTGAAAATCTTATCACATTTGTGGGATACATTGTCTTAGTTTCTTTTCCAGTTGCTGTGATAAGATAACTTGACAAAATCAACTTGGGAGGAAAGATTTATATGTGCAGGTGTATGTGGTGGGTGAGTGTGGGGTCAGAGGACAACCTTGACTGTTCCTTCATTGATGTCCACATTGTATTTTAGAAAAATCAATTTTTAAATTAAAATGTAATTGTATCACTTTTCTTTCTCTCAATCCCTCCCATGTCTCCCCTGACTCCTTCTCAAATCGATGGCCTCGTTTTCTTTGATTATTATTGTTACATACACATAAATATGACCTGTTCAGTTTATTTTTGTTGTTTATGTATATGTGATTTCAGAACTTACCGCTTTGTGTTGGATTTTTTTTTAAGATATAGTCTTCCATTGGCCTGGAGCTTGCCAAATTGACTAAGCTGGCTACCTGGCAAGTGAGCCCTAGAGATCTACCTGTCTCTGCCTCCCTAGCACTGGGAATACAGGCATGTGCTATAATACCTGTCTTTATTTTGTTTGTTTTTAGATTTATTTAATTTTTAATTACATGATTATGTGTGTATATGGGTTTGTGAATGTGGGTGCAGGTGCTCATAGACGCCAGAAGAGGGCATGAGATCCCCTGGAGCTGGAGTTCCGGCTGGTTGTGAGCCATCTGACATGTGTGCTGGAAACTAAACTTGGATATTCTGTGAGCGCAGTAAGCACTGTTAACTGCTATGCCTTCCCTTCAGCCCCAACACCTGGCTTTTTAAACACGGGTTCTAGGGAATTGAACTCAGGTTCTCGTGCTTGTGAAATAACCACTTTACCAGCCCAGTTATCCTCCCAGCCCATGTCTTTCTCACATTCTCATGTGTTTGTATGCAGTTTCATGTGTGTATATACATGTTTTTTTGGTGTGTGTGTGTGTGTGTGTGTGTGTGTGTGTGTGTGTGTGTGTGTGTGAATGCATGCATGTATGTGCTAGTGTTTGTGGAGGTGGAGGTTAATGTGGGGAAATTATCCTCAATCTCTCTTTCAGTTTATTCTTTGAGGGAGGGTCTCTAATAGAACCTAGAGCTAGCTCACTGATATAGCTAGAGGCTGGAATTACTGATAGAATTCATTGACCCAGCATTTACATTAGTTCTCATCACACTTGCCTAGCAAGTCTTTAGCCACAGACATCTCCCTAGCCCCACCCCAGCTCATTTTTAAGATATTTGATTTTGGTTATAAATCGTATAAAAGTATTATGAGTGGCACTTAAAAGGTCTTGGGTTCGGTGCACACTTTTAATCCCAGGACTCAGAGGCAGAGGCAGGCGGATCTCTGTGAGTTCGAGGCCAGCCTGGTCTACAGAGTGAGTTCCAGGACAGCCAAGGCTATACAGAGAACCCTGTCTCAAAACAAACAAACAAACAAACAAACAAACAAACAAAGGTTTCAATAGAGAATATAATGTTTTCATAGCCACTTAAAATCTATCACCTGATAGTTGTGTGAGAATAAATCACAGTGGGCAAGCCTAGAATCTGAGACTAGGTTGGGTGGTGAGGTATTAACTCAAGTGAAAGAAAATGTTGACTTCCACTAGTCAGAAGTAGGGTCTGAAATCCTATTTACCTTTTGACCTATTTAATATCTATCTCCTTTTGAATGTATATTCCATGAAGGCCTGTAAGATGGCTCAGTGGGCAGGATGGCTCAGTGGGCAGGATGGCTCAGTGGGTAGGATTGCTCAGCGGGTAGGATTGCTCAGTGGGCAAGATGGCTCAGTGGGCAGGATTGTTCAGTGGGTAGAGCTGCTTGCCTGCTGACCTGATTTTGTTTGGTTCCTGGAGCCCAAGTGAAGATGGAAGGAGACAGCTGACTCCGCACAGTGTCTTCTGGCCTCCCCATGTGCTGTGCATGTGTGTCCACACAGATATACACACACATAATAGTAAACATTTTTGAATGTACAATCCATGAGAGAAAAGGCTTTTTGTTATTTTCAAGTATATCTCTGGTACCTAATTAGTAAGCAGAACTTAGTAGGCTCTCAATAAATATTTATTAATCAAGTTATAGTGACTTGAAACTTTTATGTTACTGTATTTATTGGTTTAAATTGACTTTTATTTTTCATTTTAAGCATGAAACAGTTGATGGCTATAGAAGATACTTCACTCAGATTGTAGGGTATGTATCTAATATGGAAGAAACTGTTACCAATTTTATTAAAGATCGTTAAATGTCAGAAACAATTATCTTTACTTGCACTTTCTCCCTAAACACGTGCTATGTTGATAATTGCCATTTTAGGTTCTTTGTGGTGGAAGATCACATTTTACATGTGACCCAAGGATTAGTAACCAGGGCATACACTGATGAACTTTGGAACATGGCCCTCTCAAAGATAATTGCTGTCCTTAGAGCTCACTCAGTAAGTCAGACCTTTTATATTAATAATTACAATTTAATTTGATTTGTATAATGTGGAAAACTGCTTCTTTATCATCTTTAGGTAATTGCTCAGATTTGTAAGTGATAATATCAAGGCTTCTGCCTGGTTCTGTCAGGCTGCAGTTGTGTAGCTGTCTGGGGCCTCTCAAGACACTTACTTGAGCATTACCGAGGAGGAGAATTAGGCTAGCCCCATTAGTCTCAACTGACCCTTCATCAGGCCCCCGAGCAACACTGTGAAGAGCAGGTTTTTAATCACTCCAGAGTTTTTGTTTCCAAAATCAACTCTACCACAAAACTCAGTAGAGCTTGTTTGAGAATATTTATACATTTTAAAATCCACGGTTTTTACAATTTGAACTCACTTGAAATAATAAACCTTTCATGTAATGAGAGTGGTTAAAATGAAATGAGCCGCTATTTTCTTAATGCCCTTGTTTAAATAACTACCATGCTAGAGCTAGAAGCATTCTTAGGTTCATAATTGGTCAGTGTACACTTTTAACTTAAGGTAGTTTGAGTAATTTATCTTCAGTAAAGTAGCCTTACATTTAAAGTTTTGTAATCAGTTACTAAATTGGTAATTAAGATTTAAAAGAGGTGAAAGGGGAATTTTGTCATATTAGATTATGAATATACTTCACTTATGTTTATTAGGAGTATAGATTTGTGATACATTGACAATAAAACTTTAGAAAATATTTTAGTGAATAAAGTATTTTAGGGGTACTTGGAACAAAATCTAGGGCCCTATGCATACTAGAAGGTGCTCTGCCACTGAGCTAGCCCTGTCTGAGAATGATGTGTTTTATCATGGTTTATATGGAAATCAGCTCTAAGTACATACAGTCATGCCATATTCCCATTAATTCCATGACACTGAACATGAAATTTTAACATGGTAAATATAACATCACATTCAAAATCTTTTTTGTTGTTGTTTTTCGACACAGGGTTTCTCTGTGTAGTCCTGGCTATCCTGGAACTCACTCTGTGGACCAGCTGGCCTCAAACTCAGAGATCTGCCTGCCTCGGCCTCCCGAGTCCTGGGATTAAAGGTGTGCGCCACCACCACCTAGCATTAGTAAAACATTCAAAATTGTTTTATTAAGAGGCAGTGGATTGCCCTGTCCTTTAAAAAGTATTAATTTTCTTTCAGTTAATTACTAAGAAATACTTAAATTGCCATTCTTATATTGGAAAAGGTAATATGAAGGTAATATGGAGAATACATAAATAATGAAAGTAGAAATGTATGGTGTATATGGAAATCACTGTTAGAGTTTGTAAATAGTTTCTCAAAAGTCTAAAGATGTACAGAAATACAGCATCCTTTCTTTCACGTGAACTTTTACATATATTACAATCGCTGAGGAGAGGCAAGCACCTTGGATCTAATGAACCCAGATTTTAATTTTTTTCCCAGTCTCCCACATTGAAGGACAAAGTTTTAGGTGCTTAGTTCTTAATTTTAACTTCTTGTTTCTCTTTTTCTGCCCCCCTCCTCCGCATTTCTGCAGTCTTACTGCACTGATCCTGACCTTGTTCTGGAGTTAAAGAATCTCATCGTCGTTTTTGCAGATACTTTGCAGGTAGGTGGTAACCGAACTTGCAATTGGTGGTGATTTTGAGTGTGCAAAGACATAAAAAATATAGACTGTATTTTATTAAATTATAGATTAATGGTAGTAAATCAGTAGTAATAAATGTTTACTTATAAATTGCTATTCTCCTACCCAAAACTGTGTGCACCACCTCCTTTTTCTTCCTCTTAGAGTATTTTTTAATCTGTAATTTCAAAATACATGCTTTGGGGCCTTGAGAGGTCCATCATCAGTTAAGAGTGCACACTGCTCTTCTGGAGGCCATGCGTTTGATTCCCAGCTCCCTTCTCAGGTGGCTACAACCACCTGTAAACATAGCTCTAGGGCATCTGAGGCTTCTGGGTACCTTTGCACATGTGGCATACATGCACATACAGACATATACATAGTTTTAAAAGATAATAAAAATATGCTTTGGGAAATGGTGCTATGAACTATTTACTTTATGCTAAGAGTCTTTGAATAGTTGTTTCTTTTTTCTTAAAGCTACAGAGAATACTCCACAAGCTTCTTTATAAATTATTTTGTTGCTTTATGTATTTATTAATTTGAATGGCCTATTTGATATCACCAGAGTAATGTGGAATGTTTTGGGTTTTTTTCCCCATAAATTTTGTGATACATATATCTAGCATACTGATCTCCTTGCACTGATAAGTTTTATTTGGGGCTTTCTTAATTTTAGGGGCTCCTCTGTGAGTAACTCAAGGAAGCTTTGCTTTCCTTAGTGATTGGAAGCATTCCGAGTATGCTGTAGGGACACTGTTCCTTAAACTGTCACCAGTCTGTCAGTTGCTTGTTAGGTTCATAACAAAGTAAAGTTATAAGCACAGATTAGCTCTGTTGGGATTCTGCTGTAATATGCAGGATTTACTCCATTCTAAGTAGGAACGTGGGTTTATATTGTAGTTCAAACTCCCTATCTCTTTATAAGACCATTACAAACAGTTCTAGGACCAGTGGGTTTTTTTTAGGTTTTTCGAGACAGGGTTTCTCTGTGTAGTTTTGTGATTTCCTGGAACTCAACTTTGTAGACCAGGCTGGCCTCGAACTCACAGAGATCTGCCTGCCTCTGCCTCCCGAGTGCTGGGATTAAAAGCGTGCACCACCACCGCCTGGCCTAGGACCAGTGTTTTGAAAATCATTGAATCTAGAGTATTGGATAGATTCTAAGGAACTCTACAAAGAATCAAATAAATGTTAAAGAAGGTTTAAGTAATGGGGACATTGGAAAAGCAACAGTGTTGGTTATGAAAACCTTTGAAAGCCTCCTTCCTCCCTCCTTCCCTCCCTCCCTCCCTCTCTCCCTTCCTTCTCACTTTGAGACTGTGTCTTGTTATGTAGCCCAGGCTAGCCTTGAATTCCTGGTTTCCTGCCTCCATCTCTTGAGTGCTGAGGCTGTAGATAAGTTCCACATGCCTAATTCTTCCTAAACGTTCTGCTTTGAAGTAAGTTGAAGGTTAGACATTAGTGATTTTTAGTTACTCAGAAATTCTTCATTATTTTCATTTTTCCTGAAAACTGATAGGTTCATTATTAGGTACATTTTATTTTACATTAATGAATGCTGTCTTTTTAATTTGTATCTTCTAATTGTAGAGTCAGGGTATCTTTTCATAAAAACAAAAGAATGTTTCATAATTTTTAGTTTTTTAAATCAACAATTTTACCAAAGAACTTTTACTTTAAAAAAGTTAATGTAGGACTGGAGAGATAGCTCAGAGGTTAAGAGCACTTGTTCTTGGAAAAGACTTGGGTTGGGTTCTGTGTACCCACATGGCACCTTAAAACCAATTGTAACTCCAGTTCTAGGGATCTGATGCCCTCCTCTGGCCTCTACATGTGGTACATAGACACACATGCATGCAAAACACATATGCATAAAAAATAAATCTTCAATTTTTAAGAAAAATGTTTTAGTACATTTTGAGTTTATTGTCATGCTGATTTCATGAATGAATATAATGTATTTAGAGCACTGTACCCCCGACTTCCACATCTCAGCTCCTCCTCCTGCGTCCCTTCCACATTCTCCTCCCGGATTCCTAGTGTGGTGCTGGTCGTAGTCATTGACATGACTGTCATCATTCTCATCCCTTTCTTTAAAAAGAAGAAAGAAGTGTTTCATCATTTAAGACAAAGCTAAGAAAATAATATCATAAAAGATAACACCAGCACATTTATAGTTCTGTTTACCTCTTGTCAAGTCAAAAGTGTGTGTTTTATTCATTGACACTTTTCTGAGCAAACATTACACACTAGAAAACAGTTGGTGTGTAAAATAGTAGAGATAGTTGTGTGCTGTGGTGGACATGAGAGAGTGACTGAGTTCCTTGATGGTGTGGAAACCTGTAGTGTGTGAGTGTGAGTAAACAAGTTCAGATTGTAGTGATGGGTAGTTTGATTTAGGTCAGTGAACGTTTTAAACATACTTGATTTACCTTTTTTCTTTCCTTTGTGTCTTAGGGTTATGGTTTTCCAGTCAACCGGCTTTTTGACCTTTTATTTGAAATAAGAGATCAATACAATGAAACATTGCTTAAAAAATGGGCTGGTATTTTCAGGTGGGTCCAAACCATGGTGCCTTAGTATAATGGATAAGTTTGTCAAACACTTAACCAATTGGTTTTGCATGTTGTAATAAGAATGCTTGTGTTGAATTTCTCTTGTGGTAGAAAGTTCTGTGTGGTACATTTATAACTGAATCGTGTGTTACAGGCTGTGGCGTTAAGTACATTCACACTGTTGGAACCATCATCACTTCCTTTCAAGAACCCTTGCATATTCCCAAACAGAAACTCCCCCCACTAAACAATAACTCAGACAGATCCTCCTTCCTCCAGCCCCGACAACTACTATCCTTCCTATCTTGCCTCTAATTTGACTGCTCTAGAATCTCATATAAGTGGGATTGTAGAATATTTGCTCTTGTGTGTTGGGGGTTCACTTAGCAGTCACTGTGGATTGTTTATGTCATACACGGGCCAGAATTGCATTCCTTTTAAGTCTAGGTCATACCCCATTGTGTGTGTCTGCCACATTTTCTCTACTCATTTCTTGATGGATAGCTAAGTTGTTTTATTGGCTGTTTTAATATTGTTATAAGCATGATACCTGTTTTAGATATTTTGGAGTTTATACTCAGAAGTGGAGTACTGGCTCATATGACAATTTATTTATTTATTTTTGATTTTTTGAGACAGAGTTTCTCTGTGTAGCTTTGCGCCTTTCCTGGAACTCACTTGGTAGCCCAGGCTGGCCTCGAACTCACAGAGATCTGCCTGGCTCTGTCTCCCGAGTGCTGGGATTAAAGGCGTGCGCCACCACTGCCTGGCTTATTTTTAATAGACAAATATAAAGTAATATATTTATACAAATATATTTAGTACATAAATATATTTATAGAGTACATCTTTTAATATAGTTATGCATTATGGATAGCAAAAACAAATACATGCATCATCTTACATTTTTAAATATTGACATATTTTTAATATTTTGATTTAATATTTTTAATTTCGATATATTTTTTATTATTGAAAGGAATAAAAGGGCAAGAAAATATTGACAGTTTCATAATGATCATAAGTTCAACAGCTGGGCTGGAGAGATGTCTCAGAGGTTAAGAGCACTGACTGCTCTTCCAAAGGACCTAGGTTCAATTCCCAGCACCCACATGGCAGCTCACAACTGTCTGTCACTCCAGTTCCAGGGGACCTGACACCCTCACACAGACATACATGCAGGCAAAACACCAATGCTTATAGAAAATAAAAAAACAAAACAAAACAAAAACAATTTCTCAGAAGACAGAGGCAGGAGGATCTGTGAGTTTGAGGCCAACCTGGTCTATATAGCAAGTTCTAGAATATCCAGGGCCACACAGATCCTTTCTCAAAAACAAAAACAAAATAAATTCAACAGCCATATCTCTGGGACCTCCTTATCGTAACATCAGGCATCACACAAAATACTGAAGGAGAAGAAATCTGTATTGTGAGCTGGGCATGGTGGCTGTGGGGGCCCACAGGGGCTCCCTAGTAAGGCCTTATTCAAGGTCAGAAAGTTTGAGCTTGCTTTACCCAGCAGGGCTGCATAATGGGATGATTTGGCCTTGGGCGTGGGTACCAGGTCTTTTGAAGGGTCTACACTTGGCTGTACATTGTGCTTTGATCTTGAAAGGGGGAGGTCTTTTGCCTCGCCCCTTGGTAGTGTATAAAAAGCCTATTAGAATAAAACTCAAGGACTGGGTATTAACCCAGGGCCCTCCTGAAGCTATCCTTTGTCTCTGTCTTTCTCCAATATTTCTATCTAATACTTCCTCATTCCTCTCTCTTCGCTGCAAGAACCCTTCGATAGGTCAGAGCTGGTCTCCTATAGGTGTCCCATGCCTTTAATCCAGGCAGTCAGGAGGCAGAGGCAGTTGGAGCTCTGTGAGTTCAAGGCCAGCCTGGTTTATACTGAGAGTTCAGGACAGCCAAGGCTACACAGAGAAACCCTGTGTCGAAAAGCAAAAAGAAAAAAAAAAGAAGGAAAGAAAGAAATCTGTACTGCACAAAGTGGAGGAAGAGAGTCTGTGAAGTGCCTTCGGCATCGTCCTGTCTCGCCTAGGGAACATCTCGCCGTGGTTAAGCATTTCCATCGTTTATTTATTGATTTGTCACCATGAGTCATTAAGTCAGGGAGCAAATTGATAAATTATCGTCACATTTTTTTTCTCTGCATAAACATTCTTTCTCTGAAGGAAACATTGTGAACTGCAGTCATCCTTCTGTGTGACAGTTCTCAAAAGCTTACTTACGTCCCCGATCTGGTACTTTGTCTGTTTTGCCAACACTTCCCTTTGCCTTTAAACCCTCTGTTAACCGCCATCTACTCTGTGCTTCTCTGGGTGTGACTTTTAGATTCCATGCAATGCTTGTCTTCTAAGCCAGGCATACTTCATTGAGCATGGTGTCCTCCAGGTTCTTCTGTGTCAATGCCGATGATAGACTTCCTTATTTTTAAGGCAGCATAAACCATTATGTACATAAAACATACTTTCTTCATCTAACAGAAGGTAAAGCTGACTCCCTGTCTTAGCATATCTTAGCTATTGCAGATAATGCTGCAGTGAACATGGGAAGGTAGATCTCTTGTCAATCTACTAATTTCATATCCTCTGGACAGATACACAGTGCTGGGACTGCTGGCTCATGTGGCTGTTCTGGCTTCAGTTCTCTCTGTACTGTTTGCCCTCTGTATTCTTTCCTGTTCCCACCAAAGGAGCACAGGATTTCCTTTCTCCACATCCTTATGAACGCATACTTTTCTTTTTCAAATGATAGCTGTTCTAATAGGCTCGCAGTGATATCTCACTGTGTTTTAAATTTGCGTATCTGTGGTGACTGGTGATACTGGACAGAATGCCTGTTCTGTTTGCCATCTGAGTGCCTTTGGGGAGGTAACTATTTAGGTCCTTGCTCATTTTTAATCTGGTGATTTATGTTCAGTTCTTTGCATTTCTTAGTTTTTGTGTTAATCCCTTATCAGACATATCAAATGTATAGTGGGGATTGATCGCAGGCATCGGGCTTGATAGCAGACACCTTTACCACTGAGCCATCTGGCCAGCCTAGGTGTGGGTTTATTCTCCTTTGCACTTATGCTTTTGTCCACAATGATTTCCTCCTGTAATCGCATCAGAAATGTTTCTTTTCATCTTTCAAAACCCTACAGCTTCCATAGCTCCTCTGTAAGACTCTGCATGAGATGATCTCCACAGGTCTGATAGGTTCAGACCTTACTGTATGTGTAACATATATCATCTTCACGTGACGAGTTTTCATTGCAGGTCAGAGTTAATACATAGTAGCTATTCATAAACATCAGTCAGACTGGATTATTGATTAAAAGTAAATTGATGCTAGGCATGCAGCAGGCACAGTTCTCTAATCCCAGTACTAGGGAGGCAGAGACAAATGGATTTCTGTGAGTTCAAGGTCATCCTAGTCTACATAATGAGTTCCAGGCCAGCCAGGGCTACACAGTGAAACCATGCCTCAAAATAAAAACAAACAAACAAAAGTCAGTTGTTTGGACAAGACAGGTGGGTTGCAGCAGTCCTCCAAAGCTGAGCGGATGAAGGTTGTTTATTTCTCGCACAAAAGTCAGAGATCTGAGCTGCTTCAGTTGTGATTATACCTTTTGAACTCATTGTCTCCAGGGAAAGTAAGGTCGTCACACGGTTGGGTAAGACATGCTTTTGACTCTCAGGGCAATCTGCGTCATTTCCACAGTGGCAGAAACCAGTCAGTCATGTCGAACATAGCCCTGTCTAGCTGCAGGAGGTCTGCATGGGGAGCACACAGGAACTAGGAAGTGCCCCTTTCCAGTCACAGTGTTCTGAGACTGAGTCCTGAACACATTGTCTTGATCTTCAAGAACTTAAGCTTCTTCAGAATGTGCCATCTTGAGAGACGTCCTAGACAGGAAAGTTCAAGTGAAGTTCTGTGAGGATGGAAAGCTAGGAGGAGGACACTGGAAACGAACTGTGAGAGAAGACCTATTGGATACTGGATTTTAGGATTCTGGATGATGATTGTTTTCCTGTTGTGACTTTTAATGGACAAAACAACAAACAAAACTGTGGAGCTGTTTTTGTTTTTGTAAAGATATAATTCTACAATACCCTAATTCTACAATAGTCTAATGACACAATAATAAGATTTCAACTTTTTTTGTTTAACAGGGACATTTTTGAGGAAGATAATTACAGCCCCATCCCTATTGGCAGTGAAGAAGAATACAAAGTAGTCATCAGTAAATTTCCCTTTCAAGATCCAGAACTTGAAAAGGTACAAGCTAGTTTTTCACTTAAGGGTTAAGAAAAAACAAATCATTGTACTTATTACTATATAAAATTAACATTGTAAGTTGCGAATGATTTCTTTGGGGGCAGTTTTTTGTTGTTCTCATTTGAAAAAAAATTATACTTTAACCTTTATAGATTTTGTTATTATTACTACTACTATTACTATTTTGAATAAGTTAAGTAGGAACTTTCTTAGGGCTCTGGGGACATTAGAAACAGTTGTCCCAAATGTGAGGTGGATTCCCAGGGCGAGCGATACTTGTGTTGTGTGCATTCCAGAGCAGGTGTATTAGATGCTGAGTAGATTGTAGTAATAAGAGTACTGCCTTAATTAGGGTTCCTGTTGCAGTGGTGAAACACCATGACCATAATTCACTTACACATCCACTTCACAGTCCATCATTGAAGGAAGTCAGGGCAGGAACTCAAGCAGGATGGGAACCTGGAGGCAGGAGCTGATGCTGTGGGCATGGAGGGGCGCCACTTACTGGCCTGCTCCTCATGGCTTGTTCAGCCTGCTTTCTTATAGAACCCAGAACCACTAGCCCAGGAGTGGCAGCATCTGCAGTGATCTGGGCCCCCCCACATCAATCATCAATCAAGAAATGCACTATAGGTAGACCCATAGGCCAGTTTCATGGGGAGGCATTTTCTATACAGAGGTTCCCTCTTCTAAAATGACTCTAGTTTGTGTTAACATTAAAACTAGCTAGCACAAGTGTGCTCTAGGGAGAGATTATCTTGGACATATGTGTCACTGTGTGGCCTTGTTTTGTGGCTTTAAAAAAGAAGTTTATTAGAGAGGAGAGAAGGCTCGGTGGGAGAAGCGCTCGCTGCACAAGCATGAGTTCCTGTGTTTAGACTCCCATCGCCACAGAGAAGCCAAAGCTGGGCGTCACCCAGGGTGTTTGTAACTAACCCCTGCGCTGGGAGGCAGATGCAGCAGAAGCTGAAAGTGTTTTAAAAAGAAGGTGGAAAGCAAGAGAGGAAGATGCTTGACCTCGACCTCTGGCCTCCACACACAAGTGCACAGGAATGTGCATGTGCATACACACACGTACACACATGCATGCTCACGCTTTCTATAAAAATTTATTTTGATTAAATGCAAGATATGTGAGGGTAGTAGCTGCCTGTAGGTTTCTTATGGAAGAAGGAATATGCTGTTCAGAGTCAAAATAATATAATTTTAAAGTAGCCAATGTAAGCTACTTTAGAAAACATGTGAGTGCACATGTGTATGCATACATGTACACAAACATGCATAGTCACCCATATCCATTATCTCCAGGTAGAACCAGGTCTAAAGGAAAAGAATATACTTTGCAACCAAGGTAGAAGGTGAGGATTGACACCGAGGCTGTCCTGTGACCTTCACATGAACACTGGACTGCATTGTCCTCGTACTTACGCAAACATGCACACATATGAACATGCACCTGTCTCTCACACACATACAAAATCCAAAAGTGAATATCATATTTTGTATAATAATCACCTTTAAAATTTTTATTTTTCTCTTATTTTTGCTTTTCCAGCTCTTTGAGATTTATTTAGGACAAAGCTGTAAGTAATCATAGCAATAATAAAGAAATGGCTGAGTAAGAGAAATAGAGAAACTGAAGGAAAGCCAGGGTTGGGCAGGACGTCACAGAGGGAGGTGAGATCATTGCAGACGCAGAAGAGGCCAGCTATACCAGGTCTTCAGAGAAGCCAGGTGGCCTTAACTAGGGAGTTGGGGTGGACTAGGGGGTATATTCACAGACATAGCAAGGGTGCAGTAAATGTGAAGGTAGAAGTCTAGGTTAGACTTCTTAAAGTGCAAACGAGGGGCTGTGGGGTTAAAATCTTGGAAGAATTTTCCTTTCTGGAGATTGAGAATTTTCAAATGAATATTGGCTGATAAAATAGTTTAGAAGTAAATCATGGCACAGGGATCAGAAAATTTCAGTAAGATATATTCTGAAACTTGGAATAAACCAGATGTCATCTTAACTGGCCTCATACATTCAGTGATGCTTAAGTGAAGGGAGTCTTACTGTTATAAAAACCTGGGCTGAGGAAATGGCTCAGCAGGTAAGAATGTTTGCTGCACAAACTTGAGGACCTGAATTTGGATCCCCAAGCATCCACATAAAAGCCAGATTAAGCTGTGTGTGCCTATAGCCACGGTGTGCTGTGGGGCAGAGACAGGAGGCTTGCTGGCCAACAGCTGCCTCCGGATTCAGTAAGAGACTCTTTGTCAAGGGAATAAGGTGGAGGGTGATAGAGCAGGCTACTTGGTATACTCTTTTTGGCCTCTGTGTATACAGACAGGTTTGCATACGTATGTGCATACACCACGTGTACACACTTCACATCATATGCAAATACACAGGTATAAAAAAAGCAACAACAAAACAACCCAAAACAAAAGCCCTCTGAATCAGGAAACTGGCCTGACTCTTGTGAGTAGAAAGAAGCAAACAGCTAAACATCGCCTGCTTGTATTATCAGAACACAAAGCGGTGTTGGCATGTGCAGTCTGTGCTCAACAGAGTCCAATACTGCGATCTAAACATAGGATTACATGGCTGTAATTGTTTGTTTTGTTTTGTTGAAACGGTTTCTCTGTGTAGCTCTTGGCTGTCCTAGAACTCACTCTGTAGACCAGGCTGGTCTTGAACTCAGAGGTCCTCCTGCCTCTGCCTCCCACATGCTCAGATTAAAGGTACGCACCACCACTGAAGGCAATGGTCATGCTTTAAAAATAAATAAATAGATAGATAGATGAATGAATAAATAAAGAAATAAATGAATAAATAAATAAATAATAAAATTCTGGATTTGTTTAACATTAAAAATAGGCTAGACATGGCAGCACATGCCTGTAATCCTAGCCCTTGGGAAGCAAAAGCAGGAGAACCACATGTTCAAGGCCAGCCAGGCTACCTAGTGAGATCCTGTCTCAAAATGGCTAGCTAACTAACGAAATAGATGAAAGTTAAAAAAATAAAACAGAACATATGAGAATAATGTAGAAATATAACCATAGAATTTTATGCAATTATTTACATTCAATTGTAAAATCATCTTAATTTTTTTACCTTTATAAGAGACTAGAATGTTATTTTTTTTAAAAAAAAAATCTCAAAAACAGTATTAACTTTCTCTTTTTACAGCAATCTTTCCCAAAGAAGTTTCCCATGTCCCAGTCAGTGCCTCTTATTTATATTCAAGTTAAAGAATTTATTTATGCCAGCCTTAAATTTTCGGAGTCACTACACCGAAGGTAAGCTCACTAACATAAAAGCTGCTTTGCCATGTGCTTTTGGGAAGTGTTAGCACTGGATTTCCAAACCCTAACTCTCTAGTGGCCTGTCATCTGATTGGAAAGGCTTCTGTATTTGAGTTGTATTAGGGTTGGGTTGCTGTAACTGTCTTATTTAACTTGTCATATTAGTGTTAAGACACGTACGGCACAGATGTTTTGATTTGAAAGTTCTTTACCCTCAACTTCAGTATCTAGATTTGACAGTAATAAATAGTTTGCCACATATTCTTTGCCTATTTATTATTATTAGTAGTATTTTATTCCGTGGGTATGGACGTTTTGCCTGCATGTATGTCTTTGCATTATGTGCATGCCTGGTGCCCAAAAAGACCAGAAGGGGCATCAGATCCCTTGGAGTTACATCTGGTCATGAGCCACGATGTGGGTGCCTGGAATTGAGCTTGAGTCCTCTGGAAGAGCAGCCATTGATCTTAACTGCTGAGCCATCTCTCCAGCCCCTTTGTGTATTTTTTTTTTTTTTTTTTTTGGTTTTTCGAGGCAGGGTTTCTCTGTGTAGCTTTGCGCCTTTCCTGGAACTCGCTTTGGAGACCAAGCTGGCCTCGAACTCACAGAGATCCGCCTGGCTCTGCCTCCCGAGTGCTGGGATTAAAGGCGTGCGCCACCACCGCCCGGCTCCCTTTGTGTATTTTAAAAGACATTTGAAAGAAAATTTCATAAGTAATGGCCTTTTACCCTTGAATATTTAGCCCTCATTCCTTTGCATTCCCCCTCAGTGCTACGAATTACTACTAAAACTACAGAGCAGAATCTGAAACCTTAACTGCTTTAATGTTTTGTAAATTGGTTATTTATAAAATTTGAATGTTCTTACAAATACTTATGTCTAAGCTAAATGTTGATTCTTGAAATACAGAAATTCATTCTTGATTAACATACTGATAATTTGGAGAAAGTACAGAAATTTAACGTTTTGGAATTAGCTTTATATAAAGGCTGATAAAATTTTACTCAGTTTAAGGCAGGAGTTCTGATGGGATAATTTTGGTTTTCTCTGAAAACTACCCCCTTACAATTGGCACTTCCTAGAGACATTTTTGGTTGTCACAGCTGTGGGTAGGAGTGCTTCTTGGAATTAGCAGGCAGGGACCAGAGATGCTGCAGAACATACCACACCCTACTGCTCTGGCATTGTATGGCCTTGTGAATGCCAGGCGAGCACTTTACCACTGAGCTATACCCCTAGTCTCTCAATTTGTATTTTAAAAGTAACTTTTAGCTATTATTGTGTATACAGTACCTTACACAGTGACTGCTTTACATTGGAATTATAATAATGCTTTGTACAAAGTATCACATTTTTTATCTTGATTGATTTGGTATATTTAAATTATGTCACAAATGAACATTCTGCTTTAGGGAAATGATCCCTTTTAAAATTAAATTGAAGTTTGTAGCTCAATGAGTTACTGCCATTTATATAAGATAAACATATATAAAGTTATATGATTTATATGTGATATAAAAGATAGAACTTAGAAAAATTACTTTAGTAAGTTATGTTATATTATTGAGAATGTTAACTGATTATGCTCTTGGAAAGGTTTATCAATGTTAACATTTGTTTTCAGCTCAACAGAAATAGATGATATGCTTAGGAAATCAACAAATCTGCTGCTGACCAGAATTCTGAGTAGCTGTTTACTGAACCTTATTAGAAAACCTCATATAGGTTTGACAGAGGTAAGAAGAAATACTAACCAAATGTTTTATTATTTGAAAAAACTGGGGCCGGAGAGACGGCTCAGAGGAAGAACACATAACTGCTCTTGCGGAGGGCCTGGGTTAGATTTCCAGTGCACACATGGCAGCTCATAACCAGTGCAGCTTTAGTTTCAGGGCCTCTGATACCTTCTTCTGGCCTCTGTGGGCTCCAGGCGCGCATGTATTGCACAGATACACATGCAGGCAAAACATCCATGCACATAAAATAACAACAAAAAATATATATATAAATGGATGTGAAATGTTATCCTGTAGCTTTGCATTTAAAATTTATTAATGTAAATAGACTTTAAAAAGGTAAAAGCATCAGTCCAATTCCAAACATGAGGGAGGAGGTAGAGAGATGGCTCAGCGGTTAAGAGACTGACTGTTCTTCCAGAGGATCTGGGTTCAGTTCCCAGCACCCACATGGTAGCTCACAAGATCTGTAGCTCCAGATTTGGGGATCTGACACTCTCTTCTGGCCTCAGGCACTGCATGCACATGCTGTACAAACATGCATGTAAATAAGACACATACAATTTTTTAAAAATATTTAAAAAAAGAAAATATGAGGGAAGACCTTACTTGGGGAGTAGTGGACAGTTGGAGGTATGATGGGCATAGACTTCAGCCTTTACATAGACGGTCACAATCCTCACTTTGTACTTATTAAGTGTATGGGATCTACAAATTACTGTGGACAGTTATTTCAAAATAATTGGCTGTAGGCTCCTAGAATATACATATTTTTAAAACAACATTAATTCTCATAAGAAGTATTTAGACTTTTCAAATCAGATAACCAGTTGTATCCTGTTTTGCTGGAATTTTGTAGACATAGTACAGTGGCAGACTGGAAGTAATGATTGTGCTTTTAAAAATCAGGTGGTCCTGCACAGGCATGATCTGTATTTACTGTGGCTTTCATGTGTTTTAGTTGGTGCAAATCATCATAAACACAACACACCTGGAACAAGCTTGCAAATACCTGGAGGACTTCATAACTAACATTACAAATATTTCTCAAGAAACGGTTCACACCACAAGACTTTATGGACTTTCTACTTTTAAGGTATAAAAAATATGACCATAAGTTTTCGCTCAATTATTGTAAGAAAACTTTAAGAATTAAAGATAATTTTTGTTATATTCTAAACATTGAGAATATATTAGAGATAATCATTGCCCATAATGATGATCAGTTGTGCGTTCCTCTTGGCAACTTAAGCATCTTACTGAAATATTAAAAAGAAAGTATTGATTTTCTGTAATACAGTTTGTTTATGTTTTGACAATAAATGGTAGTACTGAATCAGACTAACAGTTTCCATTAATGTTTCATTTTAATTTTAATTTAATTTTAATAAGTGTACTTGATTGTGTGTATTTGTAAATTAAAAGTGAAGTACAAGGTTTGCTTTCCATCCCTCTTGGTTCTAATCTGAAGAAAAATAGATTGAAATCTTCCTTATGTCACATGAAAAGCGTTCTGTTTGTGTGAAGCCATGGAATGTGCTCGAGATTCACTAATTAATGGTGCTTTAAGTAGAATACAAGATTAATTTCACATGTTTTTTATAACCTGTTTTTTCTCTTTCTTTCTATTTTTTTGTTGTTGTTTTGTTTTTTTGAGACAGGGTTTCTCTGTGTAGCCCAGGCTGTGCTGGAACTCACTTTGTAGACCAGGCTAACCTTGAACTCAGAGACCTGCCTGCCTCTGCTGCCTAAGTGCACCACCATGCCCGACGTACCCTGTTTTCTTACTCTATTAGTCTTGAGCCGTGGATGAGCCATTGGCTCTGGCTGCTCTCTGTTGCTGTGGTAGAGCCCTGGGACAGTTAAAGCAGTAAGGCTGGATTTTGGCTTTAGTTCCACAAGTTCAGTCCAGGGTTCCTTGGCTTTATTGCTTTGGGCTTAAGGTGAGGCCAGGCATCGCTGTGGTGAGTACATGGTAGTGCAGAGTGGCTCACCCCAGGGCAGCTAGAGCGCAGTTTTGTGCTGGCCGGTTCCTCCTCTTCTGCTTTTGTCCCTTCTAAGTCTCCAGGCTGTTGGCACTACCACCCACCTTCACTCAGGGCAGTTCTTCCCTGACTCAGTTGCTGTACTATATGCCCCATGACATCACCAAGCATTAGGACCTGAGCTTAGATCCCCAGAACCCACAGAAGCTGGGTGCAGCAGTGTGTCTGTAATCCCTGCACTCCAGCAGACAGAGCAGGGACAGATGAATCCTCAGCAGCTCTCGGACCAGCCTCTCTTTGAGACTGCTCTCTGTTGCTGTGAACACCAGGCTCGCTGTCTCTGCTTCCCATGTCCGTGTAGGAACGCTGGGGTTGCAGATGTATGGCATAGCACCCACTCTGTGTGGGTTCTGGGGACTTGAACCCAGGTCCTCATGCTTGTGTGTCAAGTAAGGGCATCTCTCAGCCTTCAAAATACAGGATTTCTTAAGTTGGCTTCTCTCTGTCCATCTCACCGTCACGTTCCTTCTCGGGAGTGAATATTAGGTTTTGTGTTAGTCTGTTTTTGCCGTCTTTAGCATCAGGGGTGCCATTCGATGATGAACTGGATGCTGTATGCTGTGTAATACAAATCAGAAAGTTCAGTGTAGCTATAGTTTTCCTGGTCCTGCCTGGCCCACAGTCAGGACAAATCTCTCTCATCTGCCAGTCCCGCAGCCACTCAGACCCAACCAACCAAGTAAACACACAGAGACTTATAATACTTATAAACTGTATGGCCGTGGCAGGCTTCTTGCTATCTATTAACCCATTTCTATTCATCTATAAGTTGCCACGTGGCTCGTGGCTTACCTGTATCTTAACATCTCACTTCTCATCACGGCAGCTTACAGTGTCTGTCTCAGCCTTCCTCCTCCCAGAATTCTCCCCTCTCTTTGTCCCACCTATATTTCCTGCCTGGCTACTGGCCAATCAGCACTTTATTTATTAACCAATCAGAGTAACACATTCACAGCATAGAGAACATCCCACATTTGTCCAGATCAAATGGTTATTAGCATATTGTTTCTTGAGGAAAAACTAGCCAAGCAGGACACATTTGTTGAGGTGGTTTCAACCTTACCTCTCACTTCAATTTTTAAGGCCTCTGAAAGGCCATAGAGTGTTCCCTTTGTTCTAAACAATTAAAATTAATGTAACCCTTTTAGTCCCTCTGTGTTCATAAAGTGTTTCAAATGAGATACGTGTATTAATCAGTGATATCAACAGAAAAAAAATGGCAAGAAAAACAACTCAAACTTTCTTAAACAATAATGGGTCTGGTGTGCTGGCCTGACCTGTAGTTCAGACTATGTGGGACTCTTAGGCAGGAGGAATCAAAGCAGCCCAGGAATTGGAGACTAACTTGGGCAACAAATCAAGGCCCATTAAAAAAAAGAGAGGGAAAAAATACAATAATGGGAATAATAATACATTTTTGCCCATTGTGACTGAAAGGTCCAAGGATAGGGCAGATTTCAGGTGAGGTTGAAGTTGGCTGCTCAGGGGGTCCTTAGGGACCCAGAATTTTCTTCTTCTGTTCCCACTAATCTGTGCAAGTTTGGCTTCATCTCCAAACTCTACAGTGTATGGAGTCTATGTGGTGACCAAGTAGCTCCTCTAGGCTCTCCCCTGATAGTAAAATGGCTACCTCATCCCAGCTCCAAACCTCATGCCTTAGCTGTTACAGGATTCTTTGCTGGAAAGGTGGGAAATTACCGATCAACTTGACCTCATCAAGACCTATCCTTGGAGCTAGATCTGGGTTCAGTCCTGCCCAAACCCAGAGCTGTGGTTTTCCAAAGCATGCTTGGGGACTTTTTAAAGAGGAACCATAGATAACAGAAAGTTGTAGGTGTTTGCTAACAATGTTTAGCTATTACTGCTTAGCTTTTATTCAGAACACATGTGTTTATAGTCCAGGAGGTGCAGAAACTTTTGTATGTTAAGCAGTTTCTCAGATGGTTCTGTTTTCCATCTTTGGTTGAGAAGCACTGATAAAGAGCATTTTCATACATTGAAGGAGAGGTTGGCACATTATGCTAGATACATTTCTGCCCCTAGAGGGCACTATTTCTTTAACAAGAAAAGGAAGAGTGTGTTATTTTATATGCTGAATCTTTACACTTTAACGAAGAGGATATATAGTAGTCTGTCAGTTCATGCTGGGCCAGGGCACATGTACTTCCCAATGATTTTATTTGTCTGGATTATAAAACCTTTAGACCTTGGTGCTTAGAGAAGTCCTTTTGTGTCTCTACTGTTCCTGTTCAGAAGTGCTAGCTGACTTCCCTGTTCAGCGCTGTCACTGAAGTTTTAACGTACAGTTCTTTTCTTGCTATTGTAGTCTGTGGGGGCATTAATAATGTCTTAAAATATGCTCCTCCCTTAATTTAAAGGAGGTCTTGAGAAAAGTTTGTTTTAACCCAGACAGTTTATAGGAAAAGCAGAACTTCTTGATGTTACCCTAGAAAAGTAGGTTAATCCCAACGTTTTTGATGGCAACAGTGACAAAAATAATTCTTATATTTATATTTATATTCTCTGCCTCATTTTTGCTTAGTTCCTTTTCAAAAAAAAAAAACAGAACAAAGTGAGCTAGTGTAATCTGGATCACTTCTTTTTCTCTGAATGTTAAGTCCAGAAAACACACACTCTTTTTATTTAAGACGAGGTTTCACCGTGTAGCCCTAGCTGGCCTGGAACTCACTGTGTAGACAGGTTAGCTTCACAGATCCACCTCTTTCTGCCTCCTTAGTGTGGGATTAAAGGTGTGCATCACTATGCCCAGACCCAGAAAACACAATTACTTCATTTGAGTAGAATGTAAGTGATTTCATTGTCATTATACATTTTCTGCCTTCAGAGTAAAACTATTTTTTTCCTTTCATGGCTTCAAAATGTGTAGGTATTTGGTTCTACTACTTTTGGTTAATATTTTAATCATATTTAAAAATTTTCAAGAGAATGTGAACTAATAACCTTTATTTTACTGTAATAAAACTATGTGGTTAAAAAAATGGAAATACAGGCTCAGGGGTGGTGGTGGCCCACACCTCTAATCCCAGCACTTGGGAGGCAGAGGCAGGTGGATCTCTGAGTTTGAGGCCAGCCTGGCCTACAGAGTGAGTTCCAGGACAGCCAGGGCTGCAAATAGAAACCCTGTCTTGAAAAACCAACCATCCAACCAGCCAGCCAGCCAGCCAGCCAGACAGATAGATAGATAGATAGACAGACAGATAAAAATGGAGATAGGCTGGGCGGTGGTGGCACACGCCTTTAATCCCAGCACTCGGGAGGCAGAGCCAGGCAGATCTCTGTGAGTTCGAGGCCAGCCTGGTCTCCAAAGCCAGTTCCAGGAAAGGCGCAAAGCTACACAGAGAAACCCTGTCTCGAAAAACCAAAAAAAAAAATGGAGATAGAATGAGGAGGGTTTATATGAGCGAGAATTGTTGAGACCAAGGTTGGATAAAGCACAGGGACAAATAGCCAAACGAATGGAAACACATGAACTATGAACCAATGGCTGAGGGCTCCCAACTGGATCAGGCCCTCTGAATGGGTGAGACAGTTGATTGGCTTGATCTGTTTGGGAGGCATCCAGGCAGTGGGACTGGGTCCTGTGCTCATTGCATGAGTTGGCTGTTTGAAACCTGGGGCCTATGCAGGATTGCTTGGCTCGGCCTGGGAGGAGGGGACTGGACCTACCTGGACTGAGTCTACCAGGTTGATCTCAGTCCTCGGGGGAGGCTTTGCCCTGGAGGAGGTGGGAATGGGGGGGGGCTTGGGGGGAAGGTGAGGAGGGCGGGAGGGGGGAGAACAAGGGAATCCGTGGCTGATATGTAGAACTGAATTGTATTGCAAAATAAAAAAAAAAAAAAATTAAAAAAAAATGGAGATACAGCATTAATTTTAAAGCTAGAGTGAAATAGGCTCGTAAAAGAGTAGCATTTTTTAAAATAACATTTTGGTTTGGAGGAGTCTCTTAGGACTGGCCTTAAGGTTTTTGTGGATGGAGTTCATGCTCAGAGGCAGATCACTGGCCTCTTACAGTCAAGAGTAAGAAAGAAAA